ACAGTGTTGATTATATAATTGTTAGAAAAAACACTTTCTTAGAAAGAGATGAAAATATCAGTAGCCTTCTGAGAATTAAAAAGGATTCAGGGTCGCCTGAAAAAGAAAATAAAAGTAAAAAGAAAGGGACTATAAGAAAAGAAAAAGGGTATAAACCGTGGTTCACACGAACCCGAGCTATTGTATCCCATTTTAGGGGGTTATTGATCAACAAAAGAAAAACATGAAGAGACTTTAAAGAAAGATTCGAAACTGTTCGACCGAATATATGAGCTTAAAAAATGTCTTACCATTGCTATCTCTCAAAATTTACTAACATATTTACAGTAATCTACTATATTTTCTTTTTCAACTTTACGACTAACGTCATTAACCAACGCAAGAACACGTGTGAATTGGTCTCTTTCGTTGGCCTACCTTCTAATTTGGAGCTCGAAAACGGAGGCAAATTAACACCAACACCAGTCGCTATATTGTTTACTGCAAAACTGGTTCGTGGAAACTACCGATCCGATCTTTTTCTTCTCAATTTCTTCTTCTTCTTCTTCCTCTTCTTAGCAGTTACTCATACCATTTTTATAATCCTACTTTTCAGAATGTTATATCAGAATGTCTCCATGATTCGCACGGTATCATTAAAAGTCAAATACCTAACGTTACTCCCGTGTATTTGTAGACTGATAGAAATTACGTATGTATTCTTCATACCTGTAAATATAAGAGAACATAACTCCATTGTATATAAAACATATATAAATATATTATATATAAACATATAAATCATGACTAGATATAGTAACGTCATGATAAACTTTTCGATCTATAGATATAAGTCGTGTAAAAAAACAAAAAAAACACTGAACCTTGTTCAGTGAGATTCAAGGCGGTTCCCATGGGTCCAGATACTGAAGAAAAAGAAGAAATTTCTCTCATGAGGCGCCACTGAGAGGACGATGCTTGCCAGGTGTTTTGAACGTAGTTCACTCTCTCTCTCTCTCTCTCTCTCTCTCTCTCTCTCTCTTTCTCTCTTTCTCTCACGTCAAAGCACCTTCTTCTTCTTTTTCTTTTTCTTTTCTTCGTCTTTTCGTCCTCCTTCTTCGGTTTACTTTTTCTCGCTTGCCTCAATCTCTCTCTTTCCATCGCAGACTGCACACAACGAAAATATATATACCAATCTTCTTCTATCCTTCTCTCTCTCTCTCTCTGCCTCGGTTTCTGTATCTTTCTCTTTCTTTCTTTTTCTACTCTCGTCGTCGTCATCGTCGTTTATCTCCGTCTATCTCCGTCTATCTCGGAATCTCTTTTTCCTGGCAATGCCGCTTCTTTTTACCACCTGGCAGAACAGCAGCTGGTAACGGAGGGAGGTCCTTAGAGAGAAATAAAAGCCCTCCCTGTTGTCCTGCGGGAACTCCACGGAAGCTTCCTTCGTGAACATTGACAAACTATAATCCGAATACGATTTATTTTGATACAGATTTGATAACATAAAATAATTAATAATATACGTTCATACTTATATATTATTATATACTTTGATTGATTTAAAATTGGTAAAGCTAGTGATACAAAAAGAAAAAATAAATTATAAGTATATATAGTAATGTATATCTTATAATTCTTCACTTACAATTAGGAAGAAAACATATTCTCGTAATTATTGATTTTTATTTTTAAATATACATAGATTTGTAAAATTGGAACAATTTATTTATAAGTATATTTAAATGTATAAATATAAATATATATTTTTTGATACAAATTTGATAACGTGATAATTAATATTGTAGATATGTACTAATCAATTTTTATATATTTTATTCGATTTAAAATTAATATAACTTGCGATATCAAAGAAATGGTTTATAAATATTACTGTATGTTAAGCATTTTTTTGCTCAGTAAATTGATAAAATTAGAGCAACTTATAAATATGTTGAAATAGCTGTATTATCATAAGTATATATGTGAAGAATAGAAAATTTCATTGATATGATCAACGACAGAATATTTCTCACGTTCAACAAACCACTCAGTTACATGCTTTAACCTAATTGCTCGAGTATAAATTTTAAAAATCTGTCCTGACTGGGTTTATGAAAGTGTCTCTAAGTATGTATGTATACTACACATATTAAACTAATAATAATAATTATTATGAAAACGATTATGGCACGTTTCATTTTCTTGGTAACTTCGTGATTATTATCGTCACTTAAAACATGTCACGCTTTAATGAGCAAGAAAGAAATTCTTTTTTATTTCTCCTTATTATTATACGAAGCATAACTACCAAGTGCCTTAAAGTAAAGGTTGTCAGAATTATGTAAAATTTCAAGATAATAATCGATCCTTAAAAAAAAAAACATAATAGACATTAAAAATTACGTGAACCAAATGAAAGATTCGTCAAAATGAAAGAATTATTTGATGAGATGGAGATAACGATTTTTGTATTATCTTATCACCGGAAATATCCCAGACTTAATCGTCAAACGTCTCTTTTTTATTCTCGGTATTTTGCTAATTATCCTTCAAGACTATGAGAATATCCGCGTTCTCTCTCTATGAGAATATTCTTGAGATAACTACTCGTGAGAACGAACTTGAACTACGTGAAATAATGAGATCGATTGCAATGAAAGATTCTTTTTCATTTATCGTGAGAGTTTTATGTTTTTGAAGTGAAAACTTCTTTAGAATAGGAGTAAAAAAAAAGAAAAAAAAAATTGTTTATAAGATACATGAGAGAAAAAGAATTAGACAACATTGTAGAATAATTTTTTTATAAATATCCAAAGACATGTTTTTTAATTATAATGTTTGCGTATTTAGGAAATTTATACTAATTTTTCAATAAAATAGAAAAGTTTGTAAATACAAGAAACTCGATTACGAGACTCTTCTACGAGGCCTAATTAAACACGCCCTACAGACTTATCGGACGAGACCCTACGGACTTATTGGACGAGACCCTACGGACTTATCAGACGAGACCCTACGGACTTATCGGACGAGACCCTACGGATTTATCGGAAAAAACCTCACTACTTTTCGGAAAAAACCTCACTACTTTTCGGAAAAAAACTCACTACTTTTCGGAAAAAACCTTACTATACAGGTGTTTACTACACTAACAGAGGTGTTTAGTTACCGTGCATTTTTTAGTTACCAGAAGCAACTCGTCTTATTTCTTTGAATTAAGAACTTGCTTGCTGTGTAATATGTTATCTATTTATATATGTTTTCAATAAAACGTATAATAATTTTTGAATGTGATAACAATAATATAATAATAATATTATAATAAATAAACCCAACAATTATCCTACTCCTGATATTCTGCAGTCGTCTCTTTCTCTCGAAACTTAGTTTTTCGAAGGTTTCACTTCTAACACGTGTGATCTGCCCACATGATATTTTTATTTATATTTTTTTCGTCACTCATCCTACGTTAAATAACGAACAAATAAATATTTATTTTCCCAACGATAATAATTAAATATTTATACACACCCTTTTTTTTGCTTGTTTTATTTTCTTTATTTTACGTACACCTAGAAATTTTTTCACACAATGCTTTAACACGTGTTAATAATAATTTGTATCTTATTTTTTTATTTAAAATTGGAAAAAATCCAAAGACATTAGAAAGATCGTCAAAACATAAATTCTATTTATTTTGTTTTCACTGTGATATAGACAAGCTGACGTTCACAATTTTTTTTTTTATTATTTGCAGATTATAAGTCTATTATATTACAGATACATATATAAAGAGCAATTATTATATTATAATTATATTGCAATAAATATTATAGTAATATAATATCATATTAATTATATAAAAAGGTTATTGATTATTTCACATTATTAACCAGTGTGTTTATAATTTTTCAAAAACTCATATTTTTGTTAAATAGGTACATTTTAATATATAATTACATTTTGTATAATTGCTCTTTATGATCCAACAAAAGTTTTCATTTTTTTATGGAAATATTTACTGTAAAACATTCTTCAAAATATTAAATAAGTAAAAGTGAGAGACAACATTTTATCTACATTAAATAAAAATAATAAGAAATTATAAATACACAGATTAAGACTTTTATATAATTAATATATATAAGATTCAAGATCTTTCTGTGTTAGTAATTTCACCATAATTATGACGTCTTAATAAAAAAATATACAGTAGTAAGGAAGTAAGTTAATTAGAAGTGTAATATATTTTTAGATACAAAAGGGAAAAAATTGAATCTAATAATTCAGAAATTTTCCTATTTAAACGTGAGCAGGATATTTTTCAGCATAAATAACTTTAAATGTGTTGTCGTATACAAATTGACGATGTTCGCATATTCCATCGTTTTCCTCCGATGACTTTCAAGACTGTTTCCTTCTTGCACGTGCTTGTTAAAAACTACTACTGTACTCGTTGGGCATGACGACGGTAAAGCAATTATTTGGATTCATTACGAACAGGAAGAGGATTTCCCTTCGGACCCTTCGCTACGGTTCTGCGTACTATAGCGTCTCCCTTCTCTTATCCTAACTCGACAAGCATCTATACTATTTAAGAATCCAACGGACCCAAACGCCTTGAGGCCCCCTTTTTTCTCTTACTGTTCTTGTATATCTTTAATACATATCTTTAATAATATTCAGTTAAAAATAAGTATATTATACACATAAATTTATTGTTATATTCTTAACTATTACATTACTATATACATTATTTGTTTAATAACAATTTTAATAAAATTAATAACAGTTTAAAAATAAAAATTGAAATTAAAAGTAGGTACATTGCTATCTAGTTCTGGTAGTATCAAAAGAGAAAGTGTATGCTGGGTAAAGTAAACAAAAATAATACTCTGCAGAAACGTAAGAACATCTGGCGTTTGACCAATTCGATTTAAACATTTTTTAATTAGTTCAACATGTATCACGAATTAAGATATTTGGAAATAAATTGATCTTTACTCATTTTCATTTAGGATTCGCATGGTATGGAAGAATCTAATGGAGCACCTATTACGGACACTTCTCAAGACGTTCGTGTTCTCGAGGGTTACCAAAATGACACTCACACAAGCGTCACTTTCGTCAGGAATTGGCAAACTTGCGATCCTCAAGATCATCAGCTTACGGTGTGTATTAAATACTTTAGTAGGATCTAATCTATGGATTCAATTTCAATTTTATACTTTAATTACTCGTCTTTCGTGAATTCAAATATTACCTTTTTAAAGTATATAATTCTGCTTTATTTCATACACTTTAATTGAGCAGTATAATTATTTCATGAATCAATGAAATACGTGTTTAATATATATATTAATTATTATTTTATTTCCGATATTTATTAATATTTTACAAATATAAATTTTAAATCATTATAATATAATTATATTGCTATAATTGATAATTATATTATAAACATATACAAATATCAATTATTATACTGTAATTATATAAGTATAATTTAGAACTTTACCAATAAGCATTTGATTAATAAAATTTATCAGGAACATATTACATTAATATTATATTTGTTTACAATAACGAATCAAGAAACTTAATATCAACACTAAAATATTACAGGGCGATACTGTAAGAGTCTTATGGGCTTTACACGAGAACGACCCGGAATTGAACACGGCAAGTTGGCACGGCGACAAACGTGGTGGAAGAGCGTTAAGACTCAGAACTCCATCTCCACATGGTCCACCTCAAGAAATGCAAGATACCAGACATTGGGATGTAAAATTAAATCAGGTAATAATAAAACAATATTAATGTTTGATTGATCTTTTCTAAGTTTTTAAATGAATACTTATTTGTGTTTTTGCTTATTATAGTTTATGGTAACCGACTCAATGGACACCGTATATTGGTGTAAAATCTTTAAAGCACCATCTCTGACTAAGAAGCATCATATGATTGGGGTAAGTACATGATGAATACCTAAAAATCCCTTTTTTAGATAAAAATATTTATTTTTACTATATTCTAATTATAAATATTACACACATACATAGTACACTTCGTAAGATTTTAAATATATACAAAGTTTATACAATAACGTTTCACTGCTATCGAACTTTTTATCCAAAGAAATGGATACCGTATTTTTTCTGAGTAAATTCGAATGTCAATGATCAAAACCTGCGAAGGAATGCAAAAGGTTGGGCTTCATTACGTATGTCTTTCACGAATCACGGTCATTCGTGTCGGACGTCGCATGTCTATAGTCGTTGCTCAGAATAAAAAAAAGAATAGATGATGTCACTGCGTTGTCCAAAATGCTCATTGACTTGCATCGATACTTTTTCGAAAATAGAAGAATTCAATTAATTTTTTTCTATAAAACGTGTCTTGATTATTAAGATCGATAGTAGAATAATTTTCAAGTGTTTTTCGGTATTTTATATATTTTTTCTTCTTCATAAATATATAAGTTATTATGACAATGGATTGTGTCGAATAATTGGAAAAATTAATTTTCTGATTTATCTTATAATAGAAATATTTATATATTTATATAATATAAAATAAATTAAAAAAATCATTTATTCTAATTATTTGCCTTACGATTAATCTAGTGTCATAATTATCGGCACATATATCATATATATAATATTAATTGATATTATCTGTACTGTATATAGTATACGCCTCTGGTGGAAAAAGCAAACGAAGACTTGGTACATCACATAATAGTGTACGAGTGTGCTTCAACTTTACCAATTCTCGGTCAGTATGCTAGAATCGTAGGTGCACCTTGTTATAGTCCCACGATGCCACGTGAATGGGAATCCTGTTTGCAGCCTGTCTTGGCTTGGGCTCGTGGTAGCAAAGGTAGAAAACTCATTAATTTCAAGTTACATTTAAATGTAATACTAAATAATGGTAAGATAGAATGATAAAATCAAAATTGTATATCGTTTTAGGAGAATGGCTTCCAGAACACGTGGGAATTCCCATAGCTGAACATCAAGAGGGTTCCTATTATATGTTAGAAGTACATTATAATAATCCTAAGTTAAAAAAAGTGATAGATAGCAGTGGAGTACGAATTCATTTAACACCAAACCTCCGTGCTCAAGAAGCAGGCATTCTCGTAGCTGGTGTAGCAGTTAGTCCACTTCATTTGGTACCTCCGAAACAAAAAGAATTTGCTACAGCTGGATATTGTACACCACATTGCACAAACACGGTAAAACATTAATAACATGGTCGAATTATCATTGAACAAAATCATTGAAATGTTGGTACATGTACTAATTTTATTAAACTCTTTTCACACAGATGTTTCCCGAAGACGGTGTAAACGTTGTTTCGGTAGTACTACATTCGCATTTAGCTGGTCGTCGTTTGAGTTTAAAACATATTCGTAATGGAAAAGAACTTCCTAGAATTGTGCAGGACAATCACTTTGATTTCGATTACCAACAATCGCACACCTTAGAAAAAGAAGTGAAAATTTTACCGGGTGACGAATTGGTAGCTGAATGTGTTTATAGAACATTGGACAGAACAAAACCAACAATAGGAGGTTATGCTGCTTCGCAAGAAATGTGTTTAGCATTCGTGATACATTATCCGAGAACACCATTAGCAGCTTGTTATAGTATGACACCCGTGAAAGATTTTTTCAAAGCGCTTGCTGTAAGTAGCTTCAGAGGTATCACCATGGATCATGTAGAAAAACTTTTTCTCACTGCTGGGTAAATTAATATCATTAATTTTATTATATTTTATAATAATTTTTATCTTATTATATTTCTTATTATATTTTATTTATAGTGCCGATCCAGTGAGTTTACCTCCTACGGTTAGACAACAGCTTCCAGTTTATCCTGCAACGAAACCTAGTGAACAGATCGACGAGGAAATTATCAGAGTAGCACAGTCAGCATTGAAAGCAATGAGAGAGTATTCAGAGGGACAAGAAAATTATAACGTCTTTTCCCATCTTATTATCGAAGAACCTGAAGAATTTAGAGGTAAATTAATATAGTAAAAGTAAGCAAATTGAGACTCCTTAAGCAATATTAGGTTCTATTGAAAAATGTCTTTTTAAATTTTATATAAATTATCTACATGATAAGTATAGTATGTTAGAATATTATATGTTATACATAAACAAATTATTTTTTACTATCTTTGGAAACACCCATACATAAAAAAATAAAAATTTATGTTGGCTTGTTTTAATAGAATTATAATACATTGTTTTAAAATGTGTTTTAAACTCCAGTTTTAATGCATGATCTATTTAGGAAAAACAAATAATGCAAGAATAAACATAATTTCTTTTTTCTCGAAAACTAATTTGTTAATATTATATGTATTTTTATTTTATATTTTACTTTTTAGGTCGAACTTTAGCAGAACATTTACTTGCTTTACCCTTGACTGACGAATTGATTGCCAGATCGATGGAGAAAAGTCTTTATTATGGTAGACATATGACATTTTGTAGAAAAAGGGACGATAAATTAGCATTGGTAAGAACTCGAAGTATATTTAATATAAGAATATTTTAGATAATACGTTAAGGTTTATTTTTAACAAAAATTAATTGTATTTTTCAGCCAGCAAATATTCAAACGTTCCCAAATTTTACGGCATTATTGGAACAAAACGAAACTGTTTGTAGCGAGCTCAAAATGTCTTCATCTAATAATAAATCATCCAAAACTAATTCCAGTTTCGTCATCATGTTACTTACAGTTATAAGTATTAGGATTTTCGTTTACTGAAAACATTGACAAAGATTTATATAACCGTATAAATTTGTACATCAGTGGAAATTTATTATTTATTGCGAATAAATCTATATACGTAATATTCGGTCTCCGTTAGTCTAGACTATTCGAAACAGGTCGAAGATTATCGAATATTATGTTGACAACGATAACGAATATTTCCTCCTTAACATGACAGAGGAAAATAGAGAAAGAAAGAAAGAGAAAGAGAGGGATAAAGATAAAAACAGCAATATTTTGTCCAATTTATTAGCAGCGTAGATGACGGACGTGCAAATAAGTTGCCTACCCTTTTTAATACATGAGCTGTTCATTGGTCAAAGCGATTAACTTTATTTTAAGGAGTTTTTTAAAATTTTACTATCAAAGTATTTGATCAATACTAAACTTTTTATATTCAACTCATTTAATGTCGAACAACGTTTGTTACACTGGCGAAAAGTACTAACGATTATATATCGTTTCGTAATTGTTAACGCATGTTCCTACATGTAGTAAAAGAACAATTAAACCTAATATTTGGGATACATTTAATCCAGCTGAGAATTTATTCATATTTTTGCCGTTGCTTCATAGTCATTATGTTACAAATTATTGAAAATATGTTACTTATGGTTTATTTGACAACGTATAATAGTATTTTGTTAAAGCTGGAATATTGAAAGGAAGTAAACCGATACCCAAATAATGAAAGAACAAGGAATAAGTAGGACGAATAATTATTGTTAAATTATCTCATTTACCTGATATATTATATTTAAATAATTAAAGCCTAAAATAATCAGGTTTAACATTACTAAATGATAACAATTATTATGGTCGCTACATAATAAATGATACGACAATGTACAGAAGAAACACAAATTTTTATAAATATTCTAATATTATATATAAACATTTTCATATCTAGAAGTTAATGGCCACAACTTTCAGTATCTCTTGTAATTGTAGAGGCCAAAGGTAATTTCTTAGATTATGCACTGACTACTGTCCACAAATTTATTACTATATTACATGAAAATGAGTACAAGCTTGTAAATTAGTATCTTGTACACGATGTTACGCGAGGAACATTGAGTTCCATGTTTGTTAGCATATTTCTTAATTGAGTCGATGAAGTTTTTATGAGATAAATCTTCGTCCATTGAACTAAATATGTTTAGGTATATATATATATATATATACGCGAATATAAAATATAATATAATATAATATAATATAATATAATATATTATAATATAATATAATATAATATAAAATAATATAAAATAATGTAAATACACGATTTATAATGTATTTATGATAAGTTGTACGCAGTACAATCCTATTTTATACTTTAGTGCGTGTTTTGTATAAAAAGATAATAAATACGAACAAAAAAACCGTTTGAATTTATTTTCCTAATTCATCTGCACTCGTATATTCATTTAGTAATTAATTATTGGCTTGAATAAAAAGTCTTTTCGTTTTTTTCCTACTTAGGGCTTTAGGATTGCTTAATTCTAAATTAAAAAAAAAGTTATGATATTTGTTTATTCAGTTAAAAGTTATTGTGTCTTGAAAAATTTAGGAAAAATTCAATACATTCTGAAATGTTATTACAAAAAAGAAAAGAATGCGACTTATGATGAACAAATGAACAAATTTGTTATACTTATGGAAATAAATGCAGTACCAATACATGTTGCGTAAAGCTGGTTTGAGAATTTTAAATCAAAAAATTTTGATACCAAAGATGAAACATTAAAGGCAAAACATTAAAATAAATAGATACTTTAAAAAGGTTTATGTCATAGGAAATTCACAATTTAGCAATATATAGAAACGTCTAACTTTTGATATTATATTTTCGTTATTATTAAATATATATTCATTTACTTATAAGTCATTCAGATTAAAATATGATTAATTTTCAATTGAATTTTTTTTATGATATAATTAGAAATTCTATTATTTCAAACCGATAATGAAAAACTGATTATCGAAATAAGAATTTGTCTCCCAATTAATTCGAATAATCGGTACACAGGTATCATAGTTCTTAGATTTCTAAACATAAAACAAAATGAAAGCTGAGTTTAAATTATTCCTCTGATAACCATCAAAATCCCAAAGTGAAACATCGAGAAAAAGAAAAGAAAATTAGAAAAGCAAAAGAAAATAATAATCCTCACTTGCATTCGATAATCGAAATCTTTTGAAAAAAAATATCTTACACGTAGATTGACGTAAAAACACCCACGCAGAGAAAAATCTCAGCAAGTTTGCAATATCGAAAGAGTGTAGATAACGGTTAGTAATTTTCTACCTGGTTAACCAATACTGGACGAGTTTCTCAATCTCTCCATTCGTAACATTAGCCACCCTCACAATTATTTGCACCCTGTTGCACAGGGTCCCATGTGGCTAGAGCTGATAAGCACGAAATTGTATTTTCATTGAATTTACAGTGCGTATCCTGTCTGTATAAAAGGAGAACCCCCGAGAGTACCAGCATCAGCAGTTCTTCGGAACTCAGAGGAAGAACATCTTCCAAGTTACCACATTTTCTTCTCCAAAGAAACAAGAACAAGAATCTTGGTCATCGTAAAATTTCTAATCTTACCCAGGTAAATATAAATTTTTTGACTGCTGTCTATTTTTTATTTTACTGTTTCACTTACAATTAAAAATAAAAGTTCTAATCGTACAAATAAATAAAATTTTTCATATAATACCATCTATTTTTTATTCTACTATTCTACTTTGTAATATCTAATAGAATTTGATAAAATATTTATTGAAAAAAAATAGAATAAATGTTATACTTTCTTTTTGGTTTAACACATTTTATTATTACCATAATAAATATAATATTCATCTTCGCTTCTGGTATTCATATATTTTCAAAAAATTAATATTTGTTATCTTAGAATGAGGCGTACAAGGCACGTGGTCTTACCCGTGCGGTCCTGGCAGTACATTGGTTTACTGCTGGTATCACTGGCATGTGTCACTTTTGGTTTAGTAGCAAGGGATAGAGAAGGGCAAGCCGGAAGCTTGACCGGTCCTGAACTCCTTCATCGTGCTCCTCATGGGTATATAATCAATTCATTACTATGAAATTATATTTAATTTGATAATTCATCTATATTTTCATTTAATTATTCTACTAAATCTATTTGCTAATTTTTTCTTTTTCCTTATAACAAAACAGTTTTACAACACAATACAAATAAGAAGTACTTTATCATTTCTATTAACGTAATTTTTAAATTCTATGTAATTTTCAGCGTGGACGTTTGCCCAAATTTGAATCCCTTCGCGAAATCCTCGGTCTCTCTTGATCTTCCAGAAAAACAAAATTTCGACTTGGAAACTAATGAAGGGAAGTATGACAAATCGGATGTCGTTCGAATCGATAAAAGATCGACAGAATTGGATATCAACAAAAATGAACTTTCTGAAAAAAGACACAGAACGATAAACGAACGACGAATTTCGGAACGTTCTTCCAATCCAATGAAAAAATTCTCGCGTTCTTTGGATCGAATGAACTCAAAAATCGACAACGTTAGATTATTTTATCGAAATTCACCTAATTCAGAAATAATTGGAAATCTTATCAATCGTAGAAGGTATTCATCGAGAAGATACTCCAACGATAGATCTCGATCCACAGAACGTCACGAGGAACATGGAAGCGAACCAAAGACTGAACAAAGAAATTTTGAAAATCGTGAATTAAAAGAACGAAGACATCGATTTGGAAAAGACACACGTAGAATGGTTGATTCTCAAAGTATCAAAAGAAAAGAAACTAGAGGACAAATTCGAGAAAAAAGGGAAGTAAGGACAATGAGAGAAAATCGAAATAATATTCGAGAAGAAATTCAAGATCGAAGATCGAAATCTGTAGAACGACGAGAATTCAAAATTGAAGATTCAGAAAGACAATTAATGAAAGTACGACGCACTAACGAACATAGAAATTCTCGAATCAATATTTCGAATCGACAATCGAAACTTGGAAAAGAACTTGAAACTCTTAAGCGTGGACGTCAATTAAATGTAGATGTAGAACGCAGAAATTTCCGACTAGATACTTTAAATCGTGAACGACGAATGAGCGAAAATACAGAACGTAGAAATTCTCAACTTGATACTTTAAATCGCCAACGTAGATCAAGCCTAAGCACAGAGCGTAGAGATTCTCGACTCGATACTTTAAATCGCGAACGACGATTGAGCGTAGATGTAGAACGTAGAAGTTCTCGACTAGATAATCTTAATCGCCAACGTAGATCAAACTTAAGCACAGAGCGTAGAGATTCTCGACTCGATACTTTAAATCGCGAACGACGATTGAGCGTAGATGTAGAACGTAGAAGTTCTCGACTAGATAATCTTAATCGCCAACGTAAATCAAACTTAAGCACAGAACGTAGAAATTCTCGACTAGATACTTCAAAACGCGAACGTCGATTAAGCGTAGATACAGAACGTAGAAATTTCCGACTTGATACTTTAAATCGCGAACGACGATTAAGTGAAGATGGAAAACGTAGAAATTCTCGACTTGATACTTCAAATCGCGACCGTCAATTGAGCGTAGACACAGAACGTAGAAATTCTCGATTAGAGAACCATAATCGCCAATTTAGATCAAGCTCAAAAACAGAACCTAGAAATTCTCGACTTTATACTGTTAACCGTGAACGCCAATCTAATGAAGACGTAGAACATAGAAATACCCGACTAGATACTTTAAATCGCCAACGTAGATTAAACGAAGATGCAGAACGTAAAAATTCTCGACTTGATATTTCAAATCGCGAACGTCGATTGAGTGTAAATATAGTACGTAGAAATTCACGACTTGATACTACTAATCATGAACGTCGATTGTCAAGCATGGCCGATCGAACGAGCACTCGAATAACCCGTGAAAATCGACGTGACTCTGAATCATTTAATTTAAACTCTTTAAGAACCAAATCTACCTCTCAACAAGATATTCGACGAGAAAATATTCGATCTCAAATTAGAAACATGAAATTTAACTTAATTGAACAAAAGCAATCTGGAAATAGGCTAGAAGATCAACGATTCGGACGAAGAATGCTTGATCTCGAAGATCGCAAATCCTTCGATCGTCGTTCTCGTTCTGTCGAACAACGAAATATAAATGCATTAAATCGTGATAGCACATACCTTGGCTTAAGACGTAGATTTTCAGTTGTTAGAAATTCCGAACATAGAAATCACCGTGATGATATTAAACGTGATCTTATTAACCGTTTATCGCGATCTCTATTCACTGAAAAGGATTCACGAGGAGAAACTGTACATTTTAAAGCTGATAGATCGTCAGAATCTCTAGATCGATACAAACAACGGAAAATCTTTTCAAACCGCGAATTTATACGAACACCGAAACAAAATCGTCATGAGTTTACCGCGTTAAAGCGTATAATTCAGTCCCTCAATGCTAAAAATCTTCGAAATACTCTTCATACTGCACGTAACTCTTTTGATTCATCTCTACAATTAGATCATACTAGAATCGAACGCAATAATTTGTCTAACGAACGATTGAATGAAAGATCTACGCGAGGACAAATTGATGACGAAATTTCACTTCCGCAAAAAAGGTTGACTCGAAACAGACAACATCGCATTGCAAGAATATTTACACCTGAAATTTCAAATCGTAAATCATTTATTATCCGAAAATTCCATGTTTCCAAACGAGCAGAAAGATTGAGTCGTTCACTCGATAATATTAATCGATTGAATTCCAACGAAAGACGCGACTCGACCGAAAATAGACGCTTTAGAACTAACAACGATCATAGTTTGTCGACCGAACGACGAGATATTCAACAACAACGAGAAAACCTTCCACGAACTTCCATTTCGGTTCTTACTAATAACTCTAAAGAACAACGACGTTTAAATACAAGAATTCAAGAAAGAAATAATGAAAGAGTCGAAAGAATGATGAATAAGAAACTTAGATCCAGTGATTCACGCTTAATCGGTAAAGGAGAACGTTTAATGGTATTACGATCCCGAGATCATCATAGAGATATTCGATTGAATTTGAAAAAAGGACATAATGATTTACCAATTCGGTATATTGATTCACTTACTCGACGAGAAAATTCCAATTCGAAAATCTTCAATGAATTCAGGAGTGAAGAATATGGAGGAAAAATAGGGATGATATCGAACTTGCTGAAAACAAACGTTCTCTTGGACTATAATGTGTCTTTCGGAATAATACGACAACTTTTCTTGATCATCATTTGTATCTTATATGGATCATCGATGACCAAAAATAACAAACTTTTTACGGGGTAAGTTAAGATAAATATATGCGAGATATAAATTGTATGATCATATTAAAATATATATTTAAATATTTCTAATTGTTTTTTTTTCTTTATTTTGCAGTAATCTGATGGAACGTATTACTAAATTAGTATTACGGTGAATAATTCCACATTGATACGTCGATTAGTAACAATGCTACTTCTATGAACCTGCTCGTCGTTGTTGTAATATACCTACACAATTATTAATTATTATATAATAGAATATATCTGCAAATATTTGTCTATGCAATTGATGTAGAACACATAGAAATAACAAAGTAATATATATGTAAAAAAGTATATTTTTTTGTGAGAATAAAATGTTCAAACGAAACTAATACGTGTGTCATTCATAAAATTTATTCCTAAAAGTTTTACAAGTATTCATAAATACACGCATACCAAATAGGAAATGTAAAATAGAACTCAGTCAGCCTAACAATTTCGAAACGATCGAAAATGTTTATCTTCATAATTATTAAATATTGTTTAATTTTTGTTAGACTTTTTTTTATATTATTTTTTATTATATTATTTAAACTCAATGTAAAAGCTTACATCGATTATTATTTTTGTACTTTACGTACAAAGAAATTCTATCAAGAATAATAAAAAAAAAAGCAAAGGACATAGACATAATATGAAAAATAAGAATTATAAATGCAAATTGTGCTTAGTTATAAAAATTGTATGTTTAATTGAAAATTCAATGAAATATTCTTTCATTCAAAAATTGATTAAACAAATACAATTATCTACATTAGTTAATATTAAATTTCGGTGTTTAAAGAGAAATTGGTGACCGTTGATCGGACGATATTTTACATGTTGTACTCTAGCAAATTTAGAAATTTTATTATTAAGCTCTAACATAGATAGTGAAATATAATTATAATACACATTATGAGTATTATCAAATAACACGCTATTATTTTATCACATACTTTTTATCTTAAGTAATGTGTTCTTCAAAATATTTACGTTATTAATATTGTTAAGAATATCCGAAAACATTTCGAACAAACATCAGTAAGTATGAAGGCAATCACTAGAAAAGTATTTCATTTGTTATAATTTAGAAAATAATACGCGATATATGCACATATAAGGTATCTCAGGTTTCAATATTCAAACTATAGCACTAAATAAAAAATAAATATTATGTAAACATAGATCACATAGAGCTTCATTAAAAAATTATAATACTGGAGTACCAACTTAAATGTTGATAAAGTAATATGAACTCCAACTTACTAATAGCTATTACTGGCGGAAATTATTTTCAATCTTAGGTGGCCTCAGAAAAAGTAGTAAACATATCTTATATTAGAACAGGGAATGTAAATATTGCTAATCTATTCGAATCAATGTGTTCATAGTAATATATAATATAATATATTAAACATAATAAATAAAAGAAATAATACATCATATTTTTTCTTATTTAGTGCCATATACTGATAAAGTTTGAACATTAAAGCATGAGATACCATGTATATACATATACAGGATGTTTCGTAATATGTGGAACCCATTTCAGGATTTAACAGGGGACACCAAACAATAAAAAAAATTCCTATAAGCATATGCCTTATTTGATCTTGCTTCAGAGTTATAGCCACTTCTGTGTTTTAATAATTCGCGATGGTTTAGCTTCATAGAAGGTGCCCAAATAATCATCCTCAGTTTAGATTTCTAAACAGTGGATTTCAATTAAATTTTGGTTTATTAAGCTTAATTCCAATACTCAGTTCTCTTACTAGACTCACTTATTTTTTATTTGTTATGTGTTAAAAGTTACAAGTGAATCATTAGATTTTGATTCGTTGGGGTTATTTGAAAATAATTATATAGTTGGCATCCATTGCCAAAAGAACTTTGAGCAGTATACAAGAAAATTATCAACATATTTGACTCATACCTGGAATTTTTGAATGAATACGAAATTCGATGATACGACGCTAACTTGGATTGTATTTTTGTTTCCTGTTCACTCCTAAAGTGGATCCCACATATTACGAAACTCCCCGTATATTTATACACGAATTATAAATAAAAATAATGTAATTTAAATAAATATAAATTTGATAAAATTAATCCAAAATAAAAAATAATTAAAATATCTTTGATCTATTCTAAAATTTTACATTATGTAGGTTCAGCCATAAAATAATAATTGTACGAGCAATGGATTATTATTTTTGATTTAATTACGTATATATAAAATTGTTTAAACGGTATTCTATAAATATTTTCTATCACGCTTGAAACTATAATTTTGTGCTAGATCTTTCCATTATTTTATTTGTTTATTGATATTTGTTTATTAATTTGATAATCACATTTGAAGAGAAAGAAGATAATTTTCTTAGCAGTCGTGTCTTCTTTTTTTAGTTCTTTTCAAAAAACACTAGAATTTTTTTTTCATACATTTTCAAATTATTGTTACATTTCTATTTCTAAGAAAATTTTCAGATTATTTTATCTAATCATGAAGTAGATTAGATATGTATAGTTTTACAAAAAGCAACGTTGTACACCTAATGTAACATGATTTTCATTCTTTCCATCTCTCGAATATTTAAATATACAATCACTTGTATTAAAAAAGTAATCTACACTAACCATAAATTAGAAAAAAGAAGGTACATATTGCGAAAAATACTTCGATAGTAAATATACATTAAGAATAATAGTCTTCATATAGAACCGTAGACTATTAAACTGGCTCAAGTAGATATGTATGTACAAATTCGAAAAACCATTTATTTCTACTTAAGATTTTAAGTTTCATCTATACGAATAATAACATAGTTTGAATAACGAAACCTTATAATGCAGCACATTCAATTATGAAATATATCAACAGGTTCTTTAATAAAAACAAGCAGCGATTACACAAGAGAGAAAATTGAAATTTTTGTTTTATTTTATTTTTTTATCTCCTCGCATATTATTGGCATAATATATACTAGAAAAAGAATTCGACTCGTGTAATCGCTCCATTTAATTAGCTTAAGTTATACATTTAGATGAAAATTCTAATTTTCTAATTAGAATAAGTAAAATATACATCTCTGTTGAATTCTTCATTACACTATCGAGGCCGGAATGCATTAAATTGTGCGATTGTGTATATGTATGTGTGCTATATAAATACAACTACTTTGGCGAGATCATTTAGACTAAATGAATAGAATCTTTAGCAATGAATAAGTTACACCGTGGTATGTATGAATGATATATTCGCAAATATAAAGTCGTTGATTCTGAAAAACCGAGTATTTTAATAAAACTCGGATAAATATAATTCCGAACAAGATCACAACTATTTACAAATCTTCAAGAAAGGACATTATAAAAAACTAGATTCTACCTAACTCTGGAAGATAAACGTGTGAGTAAATCTCTATGTAGTAATATAATTAATCACTTCGTCGAGTCACAGTTAACAAAATAACGGCAATGAATATTTTATATACACATGTGCCTATAAATTTTAAGTCCTAAAAGTTGGAACATTTAATGCTAATTTATATAGAGCTAAAAAATAATAAATTAATATCATTGATTTTCTTATTAAAAATAAATTATACATTTATCAAAATTAAAAACTTTTAACTTAGATATTTTGGCTGACTCGTTGCATATATATATATAATATACGTATAATGGCAAGCAGGCATAAGAAAGAAGACAAAGAGATTTAATAACGTATACCATTTCGTTGCTAGCTATGTAATAGCTACTATTTAAGTAATAGTCGTATCTTTGGCAGTGATGAAAGATCTCATCTATTTTTATAAGAAGTTTTTCGATATTTATATTCGCAGCAATAAAACTTCTGTAATAGTCTTAACATCAAACAATGCAATAGCAAGAGAAGAAAAATACACTAGCTAAAGCTAATCTAATAATAATTATATCATGGACGTTAAACTTTGGCCATGGCTTTTACTCGACGTGATTCAAACGAAACGAATCATATAGTTCAACAAACGAAACAACCACCACATATGAAATTATGTGATGATACAATTACATGATTAACAACAGTCTTATGGGCACTTCAAAAAGACACATTTAAATACGTGTCACCATTAATGAGAATTGGAAATTTCTTGTAACATTGCAAGAATGTGATCAAGTTCTTGACGAAAGTAACAAAGCTGCCGATTTTTACCTTTTTCATTTTTACAGTCCTTACACTGTGTACGATTTCTAAGCAAATTACGTACCAAAGACTGTAATGTCATTTCGCGACTTTCGTGCCTTTGTTGAAGAATTGTTATTTTGTCCTGTAGTAATTGTAACTGCTCAGTTTCCTATAACAAACAGAGTATCAACCGAAATGAGAAAGATCACCCACATCGGCTATTTACATACCGGCGTAGAAAGATATTTGACTTTCTCATTTAGCGTTTTCACTTTATTCTCTAAATGTTCTCGTTCAGCCTTTAACACAACCACTTGCTCCTTATAATCCCTTAATTTATCAATCTGTTCCTTCAAATGACTAATTACAGCAACTTGTGAATTAACCTGACCCTAAAAATATTAAAATAATATAGTTAATATTGAAATAATTTATCTTAAAATATTAATACGCTTACAGAATTGATAATTTAAAAAAAAATAATTAAAAAACTATTGTGCAAAAGTAGCTACAAATATTAATATAAGTCTATAATATATATATATATATATATATATATTAATAAATTAATCTGATGTGTAAATTGTATATAAAAGATATAAAATATAAACATTATGGAATGGTGATTATAAACAAAAAATAATGCTATATGTAAACCCACAAACCTGTAATTTTACCACTTTAGAATCTCCAAATTTAACACTGTATTCCTTCACAAGAGTAGCCATTTCTCGTTCATGCTCTTCCTGTAAAATATTCAGATCGTGAAGTCTTTTATTTTTCAGCGCCATGAAGTCCTTATTCATTTTGTTTAATTCTTCCTTTAGAATTTCATTATCGCTCAATAATTTTTTAATCGAGGTATTATCAGTAGTTTCTGTATAATTCATTGGATCATATAATTTATGATTAGATGCTGCTAATCGTGAGCCCTGGTCTGTTACGTGTCCATTTTGATATATGTTTGAATTCTGATCATTACCTTCCGTAGATCGTGAACCAAGCAATTTTGCATTAGTCTTTTCAAGATCTGCACTTTTAAAAGTTCTACGATCATTTAAAAGTTTCTCACGTTCTTTCTGTAATCGTCTATTAGTCTTTTGTAATTCCTGATATTCTTTTGTAAGTTTAGAAACTGCCCTATCTTTATTTGAAAGTTCCAATTTGAGTCCACGTATTGTAGCAATAAGATGAGCATCTTCTTTCGGATTTTGAGATTTTGGGCCAACCTTTATAATTCTTTGATCTTTTTTATCCTCTTTATCAATTAATAAAGATTTTTCATCTTTCTTACATGTTTCTACCCCTTTATTTTCAATGCTTTTACCAGTTGTTTGTGTAAACATATCAATATATACCTTTTGATTTGTAGTAGTTGCTTCTAATAATTTGCCTTCTAATTCTGTTATCTGAGAAATATATTTTTCTTTCATATCGGAAAACTGTTGCTGTAAATGAAGTAATTTTTGCTGTGAAATATCTTCTTTGGTTTCTATTTCTTTCTCAAGAACAGCTATTCTTTCTTCAAGAAGTTTTACTTTTTCAGTACCAATTTTGTCTTGTTCCGCGTTAGCAGTTAATATTAAAGCAGATACAGAATCTGGATTTTTTCTTTTAAGAATACGTTCCATTTCACGTACTTGCCTTGTTAGATCCATAATTTTTTTATTATCAAGTATTACTTGATCTTTCAATTTTTGTGTAAGTTGCTTCTCACGTTCAATATGACTTTTAGTAGTCTGTAATTTTTCTTGTAAGTTACCTTCCTTAACCCTAAATTCTAAAAGTTCCTTCTCTAAGGGCAAAACTCTTTGTTGAAGTTTTTCAAATTCTAATTTTGTTGTACGTAATTGATCAGTTTTAGAACTTAATTTAATATTCAGTTCTTCCACCTGTTTTTTTAAGTCAACCTCTACTTTAATCGTTGCCTGTAATCTATCTGTAATAAAGTCATTCTTTGTTCTAAGTTGTTCTTTAAACATTTCCAATTCATCATTAAGTAACCCATTTTGTTGTATTAAATCATCATTCTTCAATGTACAATCAGCATTTTTCTCTTTAAGTTCAGAAATTTCTAAATTTAATTTTAATGCTTCTTCCTCTAAATCTTTAACACGATCTATTAAACGTTGCATTTCATTCGTTTCTAATGTTGTAGATTTTTGCTTTAACTGCAACATTTTGATTTCTTCTTGCATACGTTTTGTATCTTGTAGCAACTTTTTATTTTCAGATTCATAAGTACGAATTACATTTTCTAACTTTTCTATTTCTTTTTCCAAAACGATAATCTTAGCATCTGATTTTGAATGAACATTTACATGTTTTTCATTTAAAGATAACTCATCTACTTTTGCTTTCAAAACTATGTTCTCTTTCCTTAATGCAAATAACTCTTCCTCGAAAGACAAACGCATATTATCTATTTGACTTTTATATAACCTTACTTCAGATTCTAATTGTTGCTTTAATAACAGATTTTTATGTTTTTCTTCACGACATAATACTTCCCAATTTTGTTTCATTACATTTTGCTTTGTATCACCACCAGCCATAGGACTTTCAGAAGACTTAAATTGAAAAGATTTACATGGTAAACTTAATGTGGAACCAGCTTTCTCAATATCAGCCTTTGAATGTGAAAGAGTTTTACTTCTAGGTAAAATCTTAGGAACAGGCTTAGATTGTATTTTTGGCTTCAATATAGGAGATTTCTTTAATACTAATGGATTTGCTTTCCTTGTAGCATCAGCAGATTTTGGAATTTTTAGATTTTCTTGAGAGTTTTTCAATTGCGGTTTACAGATTTGATCATAACTTTTAGATTTACAGAATCTAATATCTCTCTTTTGATTTTTATTATCTATCGCACTACCAATACGACCATTTTTAGGCAAATCTAATACACGTTTCCGCCAATCACGTAAATAAGAATCTTTGTTATTAACTCGAGAAGTCTTATCCGAATTGACTATACTAGTTTTAGCCTTTGTGGTAATTTCCTTTATAATAAATTTCTTATCGCTTTCAACCATTACTCTATTCTCTTTTTGTATATTTTCATTAGATTTTTCAGCGATAAGTTTAGGAATAGCATCTGCGAACAATTCTAATCTCGGAGTAAGTCCCACAGTATATAATTCATTTTTGGAATTGACAACTTTTTTATTGTCATCGTTTGTGTCAGTAACTTTGGGAGAAATCGGATCTGTCTTATGTAATACAAACTGACTATGTGTTCGTTTAGTAGAATAAGAAGTATCTATTACTTTCTTATCACTTAAATGTTGTACTTCTTTGGATTCTCTTATATTAGACTCTACTTCACCAGTTTTATGCTCTGCCCCTGTAGTATGAGTATGAGGTAGTTCCTTTTCCAGTATTTCAGAAATTTCTTTTTCTGGAAATTCTGGGCTTTTATCAATAGCTGGCTTTCCCTCTACAGTAGAAATACTATCTCCTTTAGTTGATTTTAAAAAAAGATCATATATCGGCATAGTTTCTTTTAATTCTTGTTCTTTTTTATCACTTTGACCTTGCAACAACTTTAAAAAATGTGAAAAATCTTCTTGACCAAAGCTAGAACTACCCGACATGCCTCCTTCCAGCTTTTCTTTCGACTTTTTAAGAAGGTTTTCAAAAAAATCTTTATCAACATCTGTTATTTCTTTCTGTAAACTATCTTTGCTTTCACTCATTTTTTTAATACTTTTTAATTCTTCTGATCTTGAATGTCTTTCAATTGGATCATCTAAATCTGAACTACTAGATATTTCTACTTTTTGTTCCTCAAATTTCTTTTTTTGAAATTCTAATGTTTTAGGAGGTCGCAAAGCATTGAGATTCTCATAAATAACTTCGACTCCAGGACTAGTATCCCTTCTTTTTTCATATTTCGGACTTTTCTTAATCTTCTCTGATTCCTTATGTACTTCTTCTTGTATTAACTGAAAAATATCTTCCTCTAATTGTCTAACCCTATTTAGATCATCCTGATTATCTTGATCATTGTCAGGAACTAAAGTTTCAGACCTCGATATGCTCTTGGACAAATTACTAGTATTCTTAAGAACAAGTTTTTCAGCCTCTTCTAACAATTCTTCTACAGATTTTTCTTCCTCCGTATGATGTTTACTTGAACTTCCAGATTTTGGATTATCCGGTGCAGAATTTGGACTTAAAGTCCCAGCAATCCTGCTCATTTCTTCTAAAATGCTACCAATGTCTTCATCGGTTGCATCTGCATTCAAAAAATAAATAAATAAGAAAAGTTTCAAATAAAATCTTGAAACATGTAACAAAATTATGTACAAACTAAAAGTTATTACAATACGTACTTTCAAAATCTGATTGATATTTATCAAAAGCCGCAGAAGCAAGTATATCACATAATGTATCATCTTTATCTTTAATTTCTCCTTCGCTTTTATGCATAATCTATACATACAAACAACGTATTAAAAAATCTTACATATATTTGAATAAAATTCAAAACAAATATTACACATAATGTTACTCACTTTGCACATTTTTTCTTTCTCGAGAAATTCTTTCATAGAAGAGCTAATGTCAGGTGAAGGTGTAAGTGTTTTCTTCGTTATTTCTATAGCTTTAGTATTGGTTACCTCAAGACGAGTTTCTGGTCTTTTTAACCACCATTTTTCTTCAGGATTTACTTCATTATCAGGTGGAGGTTCAGGTTCCTTTACTAATTTAGATTTTTCTTTTATGTGTATAGAGTTTTCACCTACGCTTAAACTTATAGAAGATCCCAAAGAATCATCTTCGCTAAACTAGAGAAAAATAAATTTAGAAAACAAAAAAGATAATCATTTTAAAGCAAGCATCCTAAAAATATCGAAATAATCTATATCAATGATTTACTTAAAACATAAATAATCCCCAAGTTCGTAACAAAAATGTTAAAGTAACTTCTATAATATTCTAATTAATGAATAGATTATAATAAGAAAAATATAACTTTAAAAAATAAATAAAACTTTAAATAATAAATATAGTCATTAACAAAATTGTAAGGTTAGTTTTAAAATACTTGAGAAAAAATATAACTTACATCCTCCTCAGCCGGAGATTTTTTAGATTGTGAAAACATCACAGATTTGTACAATATAAATTAAATAATAATACAATAAATGATCATGTTTTTCAATGAATTAACACCTGCGTCACTTTGTTTGTTTGATATTTATAATCGTGCGCAACATTACAGCGACATCTGCTCAAACTTTTCCAAATTCATCTTTATTATCTTTTCTATTATCTTTTACAAAAAAAAAACTTATTTAACTCTAATCACAAGTGTGTGCAACAGAAAAAACAAAGAGATTTTCCTTTAATAATCCAAAATTGGATTCTATCTGATTATAAAAAAAAGCAAAATTTTATATTTACATAAATACGTATGTATATACACACTATACATAAAAATTTTAAGTTCAAAAGTTTTGAGTCTAACATAGAACAATAGTTCACTTTTATTTAAAAAAAAAAATGATTTTTTGTTAAGGCTCAAAACTTTTCAACCAACCCTTATGTATATAATAAGGACATAATATTATTTATTGAATAGTAGAATAAACGACTAAATATTTTTTTTTAATTTATAATTAATCATTAATCAAATGTACCTATAATTATAGAAATGGTCTATGTAAGTCAAAATTTAAAAAAAAATGAATTTATTAGTTATTTCATATCACATTATTTTAAACTAAAATATAATTTTTACAGTATTGTCAAAAATGAACCGTTAGATAGTGCTTGTTATTCCAACATTATATGGAATTAATTTAATTTTCAAATGTAATCCTAAAGGATTAAAAGATAACAAATCAAAGAACGAGAAATGGAATTTTAAGAATAATTATATAGAAGAGGAATTTTGTAAAGCACGTTGATATTTTCACAGGTAAAGAAAAAACAAAATAATTTTTCACATTTTTTGGTCAATTGTCAATGTATTAGAAAAATTTAACAAATAATTATTTTCAGGCTTATACTTAATACTTAATGAAATAATTGTGAAGATTTGTAGGAATTTTTATATTTTTTTAATCTCTATTGTAGATAATTTACATTACAAACATTTTAAAATACTATAATCTCGTATTGTAAATAATTAACAATTAGATAAAAGTACAAAATCAAATATATGTGTAATAATACACACACTAAGTCATTTTTTATAAAGATTTTTATTTTTTGTATTCTTTATTGAATTATTTTTGTTTTTATCATAAAATAATATATATATATATATGTACAAGGTAATAAAAAAAAAGATTAGATATTTGAAAGATTTATAATACTCACTAAGCAAATAAAAAATGTCTAATTAACATGGGTTTTATAAATCAAACTTTTCGATGTATATAAACTTTTATTATTTATGAGCATTCAATATTGTAAGGATTCTCTTGGTAACCTATTGAATGTACACCGAGAAATTTGATTAGAAATACATTAGTTTAAGGTTGTCAAGATAAGATGATTATAAACAAAATATACAGAAACTACTACTTATATCATTAAATATGAAATGCCCGATTTCGAACTGAAAGTAATTGGACGTTTCATACTTAACTACCTAATATGTAAGAATCAAAGATATTTGATGTTGCCAAGAGGCTAATTTACAATATTATAGACGCTCATAAATAATAACAATTTATTTGAAAGAATTGATTTTAGAATCTATTTTAATTAGATATTTTTTACTCGTTTCAGCGAGTATTATAACCCCTTCAAATATCAAACTCTTTTTATTTACCACCTACATATATATTGCTTGTAATCTACATTTTTAATCTAATATAGGAAACCTTTTTATTTAAAAAAATAAAGATTTTTTCTTTTCTTTAGCTCAAAACTTCTCAATTCATCCTTATATATATATATATAATATAGAATATATTCTTCTATTAAAAAGGCTATCTGTGAATTTCTATTTAAAAATCTTAAGCGTATTTGATTGCATTTGTATCGCATCTGCATATTGCACAAATAAACAAGTAGTAAATAATTTGTACCTTTGACTTATAAAAATATGTAAATATACAGTGGGATAAATAAGCTTCTATACAATCTAAAAGATTTATATTCCAATATTTCAAAATAATAATTAATAAATGCTATGAATTTTAATATCCGTTTTCATCTCTATTTATTAAAGATATATATGGAAAACTGTTAAGCTAATTAACAGCTATCTCTTAAATGTACGTTAAATACTGAGATTGAAAAATTGAGGTCATAAATAAGTTTCTGTAAAAAAACATAAATACAGGAAATAATGTATAAATGCTACAGTAATTATTATATTGAATACTGTAAACATAGGCAATACTGTGTCAATATCAAGTTCACAAGCAAAAGAAGCATAACTGGAACCTATTAAATGTTAATTTAACTTTAAAAATGAAAGTACCTATTCTTATCTTCACAGTCACTGTGATAAATTTCTAGTACAATAAAAAAATCACACTCTACTGTAAAATATATTATTAAAAAATACTGGAAAACAAGGACTTTTGATTACTGACGAGGTAGTGGTCATCTATCAAAATTGGAAATTTTACGTAAGTAAATTTTAAGAACTGAACTAAAGATGAGTGTTCAAAAATTGGCTTATATGAATGAAATAGATTATGGTATCGAGATTATGCTTAAAACTGTTCAAATAACCATTAGAAAAGTAGGTTATAATGATTGAAACCTAATACTTAAATGCAAATTAAACATTTGTATCCAACTTTTAAGCATAGTAGTGGACGCATAAAGTTGTACATAAGTGTTTTTGTTTGAAAATGTATGCATCTGGAGTAGACAACTCTTGTAATTTATTAATTATATTATAATCCAATTTTTTTTAGACAATTTTTATTTAGACAAGAATTTTAAAAGAAAATATGCAAAATAGTGCTCAAAAATTAAACTTGGAGTCAGGATTTATATCCTAACAAGGCAATGATCTTAAGTACACAGCTAAAAGAGTTAAAAGGCAAAGGTCTACAAATCCTTAACAAAATAGGAAATTAATGCAATTAAAAAGAAATATAATTATCTGTAAGTAACCTTTGTTGACATAACTTTTGTTCTATTTGTGTTTAAAGATCATTTTTGTGTTGATTAATTTTTGAAGATATATAATTTTGTGACATGAATGTTTAAGGTATTACTTTTGAAGTTATACTCGAACAACTTTTTATTTATTTCAGCCTTATTTCGAGTCAGAGTCTAATAAATTATTAAAAATGAATGATACGAAAACTTATATGACCCACTGTACATGTACATACGGTATATATTATTTTTCACGATTTAAGATACGATTTTTATATCAGAAAAAATAATATAAAGGTACTATCTTTAAAATCAACTTTACCATTGCTTTGGCTTTATGCATTTATCTTAACTTATTGGTAAATATATCTCTTTTCTTATTACAATATGTTAATATTAATCACAGTCTATACAAACTTTTGGATAGTTAATAATAAAAAAAATTAATGTAAACGCAAGCGTACATCGTCAAATTCAGAAAGTATGTATATGACATATGAGTAATGAAAAATACGGTAACTTCTAACACGGGAGCTAATTTACTGAAGGCATTAGTATTCCATTCCAAAAAGATCTATGATAAATTTATCAGAGATAACAATTGATATATAATATATATACAATCAATATTATGCAAATAACAATGCTGAAAATGTTCAAATTTGTATCATAATTTATCATAAAACCAAAGAATTAATGTCTTTCATGATGTTTTTCTAAAGATTACCTATAAACATAATACTTCAAAAAAATAATATTCCATCTAAAAATAATAATTCAATTTATCTAAAGCATTATTTTTTTTTTGTTAAATATAAACTAATAATCTAATAAAATAGTTAAGGAATCTAAGAAAAAATTACTAATAAGATATTTTCAAAGTAACAATTTGAATCTTACAAATATCCAGGTATCTCGGTGAGGCATAGCACAATGTATTAAAACAACTCTCCAATTAATCTAAACATTACAAATAATTTTGTCGGAGAACACATTTACGTACAAATGTTCCTGAATTTATTGAATTAATTGATGTGATACCTGAAATAATATTGTTTCCAATGTAATAGATGCTTTGTAAACAAAGAGCTACGATTTCATAACATAATGATTTTCAAGATCATCATGCATTTCTTTCTTTACATCGAATTTCATCTTTTTGCTCGGCGATTTAATTCTTTCTGTGCTCTTGTTATTCGATAATCTTGTCCACTTATCCGTGAGGCTTACTAACTTTGGTTTTTTAGCAGTAATAATATTAATATCGTTCGATAATGGAAATTTCAAAACATCATATGTTTTTCTTTTATTATCGCTATAATTAATCGGTACTTTGCGTGGTCTTAATGCACGTCTCTCGAAATGTTCCGTCACTACCTGTTCCTGCTTTTCCTCTTTCTCGATTTTAACAGTGGCAGAAATAATATTTATTTTTTGATCAGCCAAGGACACTGTCCTATGAACATTATCATTTGATTTCGCACAATTATTTATTTTTAAAAAACTTGGTAATTTCTGTCTTGTTTCTACATAATTAACAAAAACCTTTCTAGGTCGTAAAGCGTAGTTTAAAGGATTCCCTGATAGTTCTCCTAAACGTCGCTTTCTTAGTATTATACTTTTCTTATGTTGATCTTGATCCATTATTTTATTATTTTCTTGAAAAAAGTTATTTTTATCATTAGAACAAAAATTGACTCTTGAATTTTCAGATAAGTTATCGCTCAAGTTGTTAACATCTGTAATACTGCTATTTGCATATTCCTCGCATGAAGAATATTGATTATATTCATTAGATATAAATCGTTTTTTATGATTTTGTTTATTACAAGAGTGTTGACTACGCGTTTGATATGCTATCCTATCGGGAATCCTGCATGTCCTCGATCTATCACCCATGGAAAACGTGTCGGATTTCATGGAGTTCACATATTCGAAATTCCTAATTACCGGATTTAGACCGTACCCTTCATATTCCACTGGTTCAATCTTGATATTTACATTATGTATTCTAACCATAGGTCTATCATTCCTCACTTCTTTTTTTTCCCTTTTATTCATCCAAGACAATTGGCTTTTCGAAAGTTTGTCGGTTCTCAAACTTTTCAAATAAAAGTCGTAAAATTCATCGAGTTTACAACTACATGTGTTACAGATCACTTTTGACAAAAAATCTAACTTGTGTACCTGAAAATTATAAAATACGACTTTAAACGATTGATTTTTAAATTTAATCATTTATTTTTAAAAGCATGTACACTCTATTTGCATAATATTACGAAAACTTGTCCACCGATTTCTCCCAAATTTCGTTTAACACGTTGAGTGCGGTGCCGATTTTAGTATACTTTCCGTTCAGGCGACTAAACGAAAAATTTACTATCAGTCTTCAAGGACTGAGGCCGCCTAAACGGAAAGTTCACTGTTAGTCCTTAGGGACTGACGTAGTACTCAACGTGTTAAATATTCTTCGATAATGCGAAAGTGAATTGAAAAGCTTTAAACTTCACCCCTAAAAAAATTTAATTTTTTTTTATAAACAAAAATGAGTTTAATCGAAAAAAAATTGGTTTTATGTTAGACTCAAAACTTTTCAACCCACCCATGTATATTCAATGAAAAATGTAAAAATAAGAAAAAAAATATATTTATTCATATTCATTCTTGCATACATATATCCCTAAAACTAATCTATTATAACTTCTAGAAAAGAAAATAAACAAGTGAAAAAACACGATGGTCTAATCATTTTGAATCTCTTTGGGAAAGAAATTAAACAAAAAATGAAAAGAAAATTAATATAAAAGTCAAAATGATTGTATAAAAATTATGCAATGTTTCATAGATCAAAATCGCTTCTTAGTGTTACCAAACACATTTTTACAATTTCGTATTATGTTAACCTAACTTTACGACAGTCTACCCTTTAAGCCTCCAACTCATTTATTTTCTGACTTGAATATATGCAGAATTTACAAATAGTTTGAAAATTGTAAGAATCGATTGAATATATTGAGCAGTTATTTCACCCTCGATCGGATTTCCATCGTACTACGATCGCATAAAGATACACTAATTATAAAGTTGCATAGTAAATCAAGCAGCCTAGTTGAAATATGAAAGTAAGACGAGAAGCAAGGAGAAGAATAGAAAGAGAAAGAACAAAAATAATGAAAAGAAAAAACAAAGACGACAAAGGGAAGAAAAAATAAGAAGAGAAGAATACGGAAGATAGGGTTCTATCATCAAAGAATGACAATAATAAAAGACATGTATTCTGCTCGCCAAAGAATAGAAAGTTTGTACAAATTATGTATACGAATAAGAATAACAATATCGATTGCGAACAAAAATCAGTGCATACCATGATCGGTAAAAGAGCATCAATTTTTTTAGCATAATCTCTCTTCTCGTCGAAGATATTTGTGGTGTCATCAGAGTCGTTTCCGCATATGCGACACGCGTGGCTCTCCTCGAGAGTATCCATAAAACCCGATCAATTGTATGCCGCGACGAAAGAACACGAGTAGGAACGATCTTCGTCAACTCTCTCACTCACGGACGTTGCAAACCCGTAGTTAGTTGTTGGTCGCTCCCTCGCGCTAAGATTTCGTGCACAATTCGGTTTCGCTCGGTTGTATTCGTCTATCTACGTTTTCCTTCGGTCTTCCTCGACTTTATTTTCTGAATGCGCGCTCTACCCTGCTACCCAATAATAGCTACTATCAACAGCACGTTAAGCTTTACGGTATTTACTACTACCCTACTACGTCTCCAGAGACAATGTTCTTAATGTTATCCTATGTCTTCAACAGTAGAAATATTCTAATAAAATGACCACTTTATTATATTTTATAGAAGATCGCGCATGCGCACAAGTTAACCAAAAAGAAGGGATACACCTAAAATAATAGGTTCTTTCTCGTAGATGTATTTATTCACTTTCTCTTTTTTTTATTAATAATCAAATCGCACAAATTCAAACGATGATTAAACATTTATTTATTTTTATGTATTTATTTTTTAAATCAAAATAATATAAATTAGAATGTAAAATATAAATTAAACTTTTTTTAATAAATATATATATTTACATATAAATTTAGTGGGGGGGGGGGGGGGAAGAAAAGAGCAGTGGCGAATGAGGGAGCTAGAAAAAAAAGAATAGGAGACTAAGGAGTTGATTGAAAATAGAAAAACTGAAGTATGAAATGGAAAAAAAATGAATCTGAACAGGAGGTTAAATAAAATGATGATTGGCTCTATTTATCTTTCTTTCTCTCTCTACTCTATCAGTTTTATAAAATATAACCATTTTGTAAATTTGAAACAATTAATTTAGTGCCTTTTTTTAATTTGGAAATTTAATTACAAAGACTAGGTACAAAATTATATTTTGAAATATTAACCTTTACTTTTTATAATTTTTTACCACCTACTGGGTAGTTGATAAATGCCATCCCCATAGAATGATGGTGGCAATTTGTTAGCTATAAAATCTTCTATGTATTTTCGAACCTGTTTAACAAACCTACAGTAGTCCCTCGACAAATAATGTTGTAAGGTCTTAAAAAGATGATAGTTTAAAGGACCATAAGTCCGGGAAATAAGTCGCATAAGGGAGAACTTCTCATTTCAAAACTTAAACAGTGTACTGCGTGCCTAGAGCAACACGTGGCGGAATGTCATGTTGTAAAATGATATGTTTGGTTCCGTGGTCTGTAAACTAATATTTTGCAGGTTCCATTAATTAGAGCGTCCCTTCTTAATGTTGCATATATCATGTTAATAGTTTTAACAGCCGATTTTTTCATTTAAAATATGAAAAACAATCAGTATAATTTTTAACCCTTGATATACAAATAAAAAGAAATTAGATGCGTCCGACAAATATTATTTAATTTAGTTCAATTGAACACTTATGTGTGCGAAAGCTTGAAAAAAGAATATTTTATTTTGAAATTTGCATTACCATATAATGTTTAATCAGGTTGATATATTATGTTAATGGATAATAATTAAACGAGTGATATAATTAAATAATCTAATAATATATTGCACGACATCCTTCAGAATCAGTTCTTAACGTTTTGGAGACCTCAAAATCTACAATGAAATAAATGACCATTTTCCAGACGTCAGTGTATTTTATAAATAAAAGATTAACATTATTTATTTTTCTGTTAAGGAAGTAGCAATGAAAATGACTACTTATAAAATAAAAAATCTAACTAGATGCGAAATGTTATTGTGAAGATACCTTGAACATATCGATTCTCGATATCTAATACAATCGATATATATCGAAGTAACTGTGATGACGTTATCGTTTTTGTATAGTACCAATAAGTAGCCCGTGAATAATTATTTGCAAGTTGATTTCAATTAATATCTGCTTATTTATTGATTACAAAATTCTTTTGTACAATGGATACAAGCGGAGGATCTAAAGAACAAACAACAAATAAAAAATCAAACACACATAATTCGAGTGACGCGCAAATGAGATGGAGGAAACGTCTGGCGGACCTTCGTCTAAAAAGGGTAAATATACATAACCTCAAACTACTATAAACTTTTAATGCTTAGTGAAAAAATCAAATATCAGGGCATCAGAAAATTTTTATTTTTCTTATTGTTTTATTACATTAACTGTTAATCTTTTAGAATAAAGCTAGACAAGAAAATCACAAAGAAGTTATTGAAGAAGATAAAAGAAATAAGCTTCCAGCTAATTGGGAATCTAGAAAAAGACAAGCGGAATGGATATTACAAGATGAAGCTGCCAGGAAAGCTGCAGAAGAGAAAGGAGAAGATTACGAAAGAATTAAATTACTCAACATAGATGCAAGAGAAGCTGAGCGAATAGCGAAAAAAAAGCAAAATAAGAAAAATCCAGATCCAGGATTTTCTGATTATGAACAAGCAGTTGTACGTCAGTATAATAGGTTGGTTAAAAATATAAAACCTAATATGGAGACGTATGAAGAACTCAAAGAAAAATTAGGGCCAGCATTCTATGGTGATAAAAATACAATTTTACATGGACTTCACGAAGATAAGAAAGAAGCAATTGATAGGATGGTCGATAATTTGGAAAAACAGTAAGAGCATTTTCATTTTTTTAATAAAATCTAATTGTTGTTATTTAATGTACATTAATAAATTATGTTTATTGTTATTTTTATAGGATTGCAAAACGTGAGAAATATAGTCGAAGAAGAATGCACAACGATGACGCAGATATTGACTATATTAATGAACGTAATGCTAAATTTAATGAAAAATTAGAAAGATATTATGGCGAATACACACGAGAAACCAAACTTAATTTGGAACGTGGAACAGCTATTTAATTTCTTTTTTCTGTTAATGATATTATCGATATAAATATATATGCTTTTCTATTAATTCTATTGATTGAATTGTTTGACGTAAATCTTATGGTTCGTGCGAACCGGTTGTTAATGATCAGCAGACAAAATTAATTTACTTTTATAATGTTTTAGTATAAATTTGTATAGAAATTTTAACAATTATGTGATTTTCTTTGTGAGTGTATTATTTTGTAGAGTTCTATAAATACATTGTATCATTCACAAACAATTATGTAAAGTTGAAGTTATTTATCATAGAAATATTTCAATTAATTGAAAATTTGATATAGTGTATTTAGTGTGAAAAAAATTTAAAAATAAATATATTAGTATACCTTAATTACATATTTAGTAAATTTTACTTAAAAGCTGTATTTCTAACAAGTAATTTAAACAAATATGAAAAATAATGCACAGTAAACGGTCGTACCTTAACATAGTGCATGTTGGCATAACTGTAAAAATACGAGGGCCAATACCAGGGATTTTTTATGTCTAAAAGTAGTTCATCCTTTTTTTTTTTACTGTTATTTCAATCTTTCTTTTTGTATTAGAATTAGTTTAATACCCATTAAAATAAGAATAGTACAAAAATGAAGCAAACAACTATAATAGAACGCAAGTTAGTTATTAATCATTTTAAAAATGTAAAAAAGTATGGCGAAATAGCTGATATAATTAATAAAAATAAAAGTAGAGTGCAATATATAAATAAGCGATATAGAAAAATGAATTACGTGTCGAACAAAGTAAAAACCAAATTGGATAAAAAGCTAAATACGTGAGACGAGCGTTGAATGATTAGAATTGTTAAAGATAATAATTCTTATATAAATAAAAAATATTTTTTACATCACAATAAGCTTAAGATATTTAGATGGCCTTAAATAGATTACTTTATATGTTGTTTGAATACAAAAATATTGCATGTATTATAAATATAATAATATATGTATTACTGCTTACCTTTTTATTTATTTCTCTACATATTTGTATTAAAAATTTGAGAATATATTTGGTAAAAAATAAAAATGATTGAGAAAAGGATCCATATAGGAGAAAATAGTTACAATGAAATGATAAATTTTAATTTCATTGTTTGCACTAATTAAGAATAGAAAATTAAGATAAATTAAACTAAATTAAATTAAATTATTACATTTATGCATCTCTATGTGTTTACAGCTTATATATCCCTACATTTCTTTTATTTAAATTAAATAATTCGAAATTATATTTACACTTCTTTAAGTCTCTAGTTAACATCACGTCATACAACCCAACTGTGCACTGTACCTATAAGTAAGAAAAAAACATGCTGAATAAAAGAGAAATAATATTCAATATATGTTAGTTAAAATATTATCATTAAATTTTAAGGAATACTTACGTCTTGGTGAAAAATTGTGGTGATGTGTAACGCGTATATGAATATCTTGTGTCTCACCTATAAATTTAAAATAAATGTAAGCTATATCTTTTAACTTTTTAATTTAAAATAGAAAACTGATCATATATTATTTTATAAATTTGAAATAAAAAGGATTAATTTATATTTGTTTCTACTTACCAGTATATTCAATCAAAATTGATTAATACATTGACATGCAAGCAAAAAATATAAACACACAGACAACAGGACAACAGAATTAAAATAAAAACAAAGATACTATATTTCATTCATTGTACTGTATTCATTGATTAGACATACGTACTTATTATTTTAATAACTATAAATACAACAACAAATTCACTGAAATTATGTACAATAATAGATAAATTATGAACTATTCGAGTTTAACAAAGATAAAGAGTACTTCAACAAATATAATTACATTATTTCAATCTCTTAACCAGACAACCTGAGTTAACTTATCAAAAAGATTTTAATTTTTTTACGATAAAATAATGAAAATATTATTTCTTTCATTTCATGTTCAAAGCTTCATTCTTGTCTGTAATATATTTTATTTGATCGAAGAAATCTATTTTTCTTAGAGAAACAATTATTTGACAAATATATTTTAGAAGCTTAGTGAAAATGGTTTGATAAATTTCTGATATCAGTTAACCGATAAATCACTCAAAACTCATTGTAACAAAAACAACATGCCGTTAGGATTGTTGGTTTATTCAATCAGGCAACTGAGATAGTAGATTAGGAAAACGATTTGATGATGATGTACTGGCTTGTTCAAGCAGTGATCCATGTATCCTACCTGCATTGCCGTGATCCAAAAGTCTTGGCATATCACACTGCTCGCACTTATTCATAAGTGGATGATTATCGAAGGTACACATCCTGCAGACCCACGAAGGTCCATCCCTATCTTCTTCTCTATCATTGACATCAGCAGCTCTCGCAGAGGGTTGCCAGGCTGGTGGCTGACTCGGCAATGGCGGTGGTGCCAGATGAGAGAATGGTAGAAAAGGTTGACCAGTATAAATGCCCTGATAAAATTCTTCATTTGTTTCACCTAAAGGTACTTTAAACATAATGGGGGAAAGAATTAGTTGCGAACTAATGCATCATTATATATATGTAAATATAATACATGTATGGTGTTTTAATATTTTTCTGTAATAACGATACTAGCATATTTTATTTCTACTATAACTTTTTTATAAATCATTTTTTATACTAATTTAATATGATGTTTTCCCCTTATTTTAACTCGTAAAATATACTAGCAGTTTTGTGTGAGAACATTTCGAGACATCTTGTATATGTATACAATTAGTAGCAAATATTTTTATAATAATCTGCATAAATTCGACAAAATAATTAAACAAATTACCACGTGGGTCTGACCATTGATCCACTTCATCTGCAAGTCTGTCGCATTCGATTTGCAATTGGTAAATTTCGCTTCTTAATTTTATTTTCAGTTCCTGCATGAAATAATAAAAATAATGGATTTCGTAACGATAATATTTCAAATTCATTCTTTATTCTTTTAACTTACCTGTGGCGATATCGAAGAATCTGGGGGTCTCGCTAGAGACTGCAGTTCTTTCTTCATTGCTTCAAGTCGTCCCTTTTCGGCTCTTAATTCCTTGGCGAGCCTTTCCTTCCTCGCTAACTGCTCGGCGACCAGTTTTCTTTGATGTTCTGCCACTAAAGATATAAACAATCATCAACTTAATTATTTGAATGCAAAATTTTTGAAAGTTAAACTTCACTCAAATGGAAATTGTCTCTAAAAATTGAATTTTTTCGTCAGAAAGATACAACATTTGGATTGCAGGAAAGGCTAAAAAAGGAGCGTAGAAGTGGAGTGCAACGTTCAGGAAACATGCGAAAGTACATTGCGACGATCGTAAGAAGGAAAAGCAGATCAGGTGGTCCACGTAGAATAGCCGTGGCGTGGCTATGTATAGCCGGAGCGTGGGGTTAGGAATGCGTAAATATCGTTCTCACTGTTTCATGTGGGCGTAGTACGTGCGACCGACTAACTCACAGGTAAATATACGTAGACGTTGATCTAACATAAGAAGAGACTTCGAAAAGAGAACCGATAAGGAACGATAATCGTTATAGATTGATGTTACTTGAAGTATGTAAATATGTAAATAGAGGTAACATGTGCATAAATAGATTCATAAATACGTAAATTCATTACCTTGGTTTAAAGGCGAACGATTTTGATCCTGGTCGATTAACGGTTTTTCTTTAACGGGACTAGAGGGAGGAGAGATTGCCGTTGGTTCAGACGGAGTCGCGGGGAGACTATTAGATGAAATAATATTCGTTATTGTTGGAACCGAAGGTGTGGTTGGGGCACTCATTGTTGTCGTCGGTCTTGGTAATTGACTTGGAGGCCCAGCAGGAAGTCCTACAAACAAGATATGCATTTATTATTGTTTGAACGATTGTTGCTTAATCAACATAACTAAAAAAAAAAAATTTGAATGAACCTGGAGGTCTCTGTGGACTAATTTGAGCGGGGGGAAGCAGGCTATTGGGTCTGGCAGGACCCATCGGTGGTCTAATTCTTGCAGCCGCTACGCTGCCAACGCTTCCTGGCCCGATGCTAATCTGCAAGCGGCTTTGAAATCCTCGTGGGTCTAAAGACGAGGTCGAATATGTCAAACTCGAACCTTGCGATCTGATGTCGATCGGTGGTTGTGGATCCGACGACGGTGGCCTCAGTGTCAAGCTAACTGATGTGTAACTACGTGCATGGTCAAATTGTCCAGTGTTTTTTCCTATAGCCAACTGAGGTTCCGCGTAATGAGGTCGAGGTTCGACAACGAGGTCGCTTCGTTTACACGTACCGATTGTCGGCACCGTTCGGAAGTCTGCGGATTGTATAGATTACAAAAATTAAATACATTATGTTTTTATTTAACGTCAATAAACAACATGGCTAAGGTTTATCGAAAAAGGGACTAAGGAAACGAAACCAATACTTCATAGTTACCATGACACAGTGGTAAAGAATACAGAAAGCGAGATAAAGAAAAATAGCTGAGATAAATTTTAATGGAAAAAGATAATAAAAAAGAAATAAAAAAAAGATAAATTTAATCACAAAATATTAAAAAAGAGCAAGAAAGGATGAATAAAAGATGAAAAGAGAAATGTTTGCGTGGAAAGTGTGGGCAAACGGAAAACCGATAATCGACTTTTGAACCAAGTGCAAACTTTAATTCCTTATTTATTATTCACAATTGTTATTAATTATGTGTATCTCTTTGCCTGCTTTCTTTCTTTTAGGAATGGGATGACATGTTAAGTAGTATAATAGGTATCATTCTCGATCGATATTCAGAAGAAGTCGACAGTTAGAATTCTATATCTCATGTAATCGATTGTTACGATCGTGTTAGTTGTCATCGTTGATAAAACAGTTTTGGCATATCGCACACGCGCGTGCGTTCAAAAATAAGATTCAACGATCTTGATTGTTATACTGTTGCTGTTAAGGCCTGAGAAAAACGGAAGGATATTGATCAAATTAGAAAAAAGAACGAAAAATACGTGTATATCTAAGTATACAAATAGATATAGCAAATATCTAATAGTAGTCACATCGTACCGCGGTTGCCCGCAGGACTGCAGGCGACATTAACGTTGAGTTCGAATCCAGGAGCAACATTGTTGCTTACGCAGTTGTTGCCATTGGTGTTTGCGGACGGGACGTCGTCAAAAAAACCGCGTGCTTTGCAAGCCGCTGGTGCGGAAGAGGGTGCAGGTGGTTCGATTGAAGTTACGGATGACGATGCCGCGGCGGCACGTGAACAGCCAATAGGAAAACGTCGTGCTACGCCGATATCCAATGAGGCTGGCCTAGAAGGTCGTGAACCATTGCTGTTCGATGTAATGCGTTGTGTTGATTGATGATTCATAACGCAGCAACGTTGTTGCTGTTGTTGATGATAATGTTGCTGGTGCTGTTGCTGCTGTTGATGATGCGATTGGTGGTGCGATTGGTGGTGATGTTGAGCAGCAACAGCAGCAGCAGGTGGGGGCGGCGGAAAAGCGCCCGGTGACGGACGCGATTCTTGGGTTGCTCGTAGACTTCTTGCGCATATCTCCCTGTCGTGGCTGTTCTGCAACGCACACGCATCTGGATCAGCCGGCTTTTTTCCTCTGTTCTCGTACGATTCTTTCTTCGTCAAAATCGAGAACGAGTGCCCTATCTTATTTATCTTATTATCAACCGCTAATATATTTTTCATTATTAAATCGTAAGATTATAGGAAGCAACATCTAGAGCCCACACAAATTTTCCACGCTCGTGCAAGTGAGTATGATAATGTTTGAGAAATGAAATGATGATGGGAGGGACGTTTATATATTTGATATTGAATGCATTTGGAATTTGTTATGATTTGTTTATATCAATCAAAAAAAAAAAAAAAAAAAAAAAATATATATATATATATAATACGTATATTGTGACAATAAATTATTTGGTTAGATAGATAATCATTTGTTCCAAATAAAAATTTACAAAAATGCACAAATATTATAGTAACATTAGGTTAAATAATATATCTGATATTAAAAAAAAAATTAAAAAGAAAAAACATGATTTTGAATGATTTCATTCGGTTTTGATTGATCAAAATTAGAATTATCAGGACGGTTAACGTTATTAGAATTGAAACAAAAAGAGAACTGTTAGAAATTGACTCATGCTTAAGATTTTTGAAAAGGTTTGGATAAAGGGTAGCTGTACCTGTGCGATGCACTGGGAAACGACGTAATCAGGGAGCGCGGGGAACTGCTGCTTCAGCTCGTGGAACAGCTGCATGATAGCGATGTTAGAGCAGTGGCACTCCCCCATCGTGGGCCCCCATCCTCCTGGTAGGAATTACCTATAGGTGCCAGGATCTCTTGTTATCCAAATCTCAATTCTACTCTCTTGTTCAGATCAAAACTTTAATGATCAGAGTTACTATTAAATTGAACTCATAAATACATTTATGTCACAAATCGAACGGTCCAAGATTTCGGAAAAAAGATTTTGCGTTCAGTTCTCTATTAACAAAATATTAGTTAACAAGACATTTAAAGCGTCTTTAAACGTCCATATTTTGTAAAGTTAATATTAGCCGGTAGATTATTTCGCAATGAAAATATTTAAATACATCTGTTGACTATACAAATTACCGTTAAATATTGATATCTGTCGTACCTGTTTTTGGCCAAGTTGCAAAGAAATTATTCCGAGAATCTTAATTCTCGCACGTATTTATATTTTATCGAATAGATAATATTTTTTAATGGGATGAAAGTTTTTCAAAAATTCATTCGACGATTTCGTGAGAAATAATGTTCAAGCTTGAAAACGTAATGATTATTTTGTTGGAAATATAAAAATGACGTTTGGTCGTAGAAAAATTGTACGTTGTTGTAGATTTTCTAAATAAAGTAGATCGTGGAATTGGCAACGCGTAAGGTATCGGTGGACACCTGTGTTCCAAAGCGCGCGCGTGCTTACACTACGTAGGTGTGCCACATAATTAGCCGGCACTGTCGTGGCGTTGCACGCGCGTTTGCTCGCCCACGCACGCTTCCGCGCATGCGCGTTCCCGCTAATCTCTCTTGCTTTCAGCCCTTCTTTAAATCGTCCTATTTTGTAAGGACTAAATTATGTTATATTATTATATGCAAATGATTTGTTCAAACAAAGATTTTCGTTGTCGACTTCAACCGTACGATCGAGAATCATTGATATAAACAAAACGATCAGAAACTTTGTCCCTCCGAGAGACACCGGATCAATTTTTTGAATACTTACATATCTGAGCTTCCATAATTAATATCTGCTTCTGCTCGTACGTATATGTAGATAAGAGAAAAATATTTGTTATTTTTTACCTCATACTTCGCACCGTCACACAAGAGAATGAAGATGAACTTTTTATTGATGATTTTTTTCGTTCTCTCTTTCTCTTCTTCTCTTTTCTTTTTTTCACAACGAATAAACAAGAATAATTAATCCTGAGATAGTATTCACGGTGACTCTCGGAAATACACACAGATGCCCTTTTTCAATATAATTTTCTGTTCAAATTTGAAAATACAATGAGTCGCAGGAAATTCTCGTTAAAGTTTTATAGCAATTAATTGAAAGTTTTTGGTTGCTAATTATTAATACAATAAGCTCTTGCAGGGCGTTAAGAGATAACTCGGTAAGATAGACAAGAGATACTTGTAGGAGCTTTCTCGCGACTTTCGAAGAGTGTCTATACGTAAATGACCGAAATACAAATAAATTTGTGTGGGCAGACATTCGAAGCGAAGGTGGTAAGTTCGAATTCGTTTTTGAAGCAGCTATCGCTTCGCTCACGCGAAGCCAACCGAACGACGGTGTGCGTGCCAAAGCTAGTTTTTCACTGGCGTAGAAACTACCTATAGCGATGTCGTGGACAAAATGAACGGGGGATATGCCAAATATCGCCACAAACGCGATATAATATATTTATCGACCAAAATATACGACTTATTCTTACATAGAAATGATTTCTAAGTTAATACGAGGAAAAACGTTTATTAAATTTTTATTATGAAATATGCAACGATTTTCCTCTTGATTTATCTCAAAGGAGAAAGAGCAAAGAAAGGAATTATCATTTAAAATCTAACAATTACCTTCGTATTGGTATTACGCTCTTGCTATTTATTATTTATTTTTACATATATTTAACAAAAATCACAGAAAATAATCATAATCTCAAATGTAATTAGTTCAATATTATATGTTGGTTCTATATTGCTGATAAAGAAATAATATAAACTTACAAAAATGAAATAGTTTATTTTGTAACACTTTATGTTCCTTTTGACATTATTTTTTTGCCCTTATATCCTTCAACAGAAAAAAAAGCAAAGATTCGATGCAACATTCTAAAGAAATCAACGCGTCTTTTCTCGGTTGGAGGCAAAGCTTTAAGAGAAGTTGAGTGAGCTGAGGGATTGGGTTGGGCAGGGCGGTATGGGATGGAGGAGGAAAGAAAGGGGGGAAAAACGAAAACGCATTTCACCGAGCCGGCGAAAAAGGAAAAGCGGAATTCCAGCTTGGCGAGAAGATATTTGTGTCATGAGGAGACACACAGCGGCTGTTTTCGTCTATGACCAGAAACACGAAGAAAAGGGACTTCCACGAGTATTTTCATACATTTTTCTCATACCCTCTTCGTCAGAGGCACAAAAAAACGAAGAAAACTATTAAATCTATTATTTTTTTTTAAATAAATTTCGACGAATAAAAATCGGGACGCGAGGGGTTAGTCTAATAATAAATACGTTTGTTGTTGGAATTTCATTGCATTCAAAATTTCGCAAGGAATAAGAACTACAAAAAATGTGTCTATTTTTATTACATAGAAAGTTTTTCTTTCATACAAATCAAAGTTCAATTTTTAGACTTTTTCTTTCAACGAATTTACGTATAATTAGAGGGGGCTGAGGGTGGTACATTTTGCAAAGCATCGAAAGAAAATAAGATAACTAAGAGTGATAATTGATTAAGGTTCATAACGTTAAGCAGAACTACGATATACGTATGTCCGAGTTTGCACTAAAAACAAACTTACGAATGTATAAATTTATTTGTATTATTTTCTTTTTTAGTAACAGAAACGTAAATGTTTATTCTCCTCTTATTGCACGTAGAACAACGTTTACATCGACAGCAACTACTTCGATAAAATAGAAATGCATGTATTTATTCACGTGTAATATTTAACAACGTGCCGACAAATTGAAATGATACGTTTTGAACTTTCATGTGGACGTTTATCACGGATGTCGTTTGTGTCGAGAGTATTACGTAATCAAGATGATTTCTCCCTCCGCGTGCACTCACTCCCCACCACCACAACGAGCTATTTCGCTATGAAAACAAGCAGTTATCCACTGAAAGTAGCGTGCTACTCGATCCACGTGGACACTTTGTAAATGATCAATATCAAACTGTCAAACCATCATTAGATGTAATATAATAATACGTTATACATATACTATAATTATTAACGTCTATTTGTACTTATTAATGAATCATAATACAATAAAAATGGCAGTGATGTCCTCGTAATAATTGACTCTACGAAATTCTTTGAAAAAATGTTTATTCAAAATTGTTTTGAATTTAAAAATATTTGACGTTTGTAATGGCTTCATTCATTAAGAAAATTCATTTCGATGTTATTCTTACGAAAATTTTCTTGAAGCATAGACATCTCGACAAATAAAGTAATAGATTTATCCGAAAGAAAAACAAAAGCGGATATTTTATGTTAGAAGTAGAAGGTTGAGAAAAATTGGAAGATACGCGACGTGTTGCATCGTTGTAGGGAACGTTCAAACGCATTCCACACAGAGGCGCGCGAGTATATTTTTGTGGGGCGCGCGCGCGCGCTGAGAGGGCGCAAAACGACGACAAATAAAAGTCAAAGAGTGCTTCCTTATCCCCACCTTTTTTCTATCTATCTATCTCTCTCTCTCTCTCCCTCTCTTTCTTTCTTTCTAATTTATTCAATCACTCACCCACTCGCTCGCTCCCTTCTTCTCTTCTCACTCACTCAGCTTATTCTACTCACTCGGCAGTGGCACGTCACCGACGAAGAGTCACGCGAGATAGCGCGACGAGTCGAAAGAGAAACGAAGTATCAAGTAAAGTATACTACGCGTTGGTTCCTTGGAGAGTTGAAGAAGCGAAGAAGCAAAGAAGCGAGACCGAACGGAGTGGCGAGGCCGCTTTTAGAAATAACTCTCTCGCCCCCTCTCACTCTCACTAACGCAGATCAGATGCGTGCGCGTGTACTCAGTTATACGCCACATTGCTCATTTTTTGAGTTTACAGAAGTAGGAGAAGAATTTATCTAATTAACGAATTATCGAATTAATTAATGAACGAACGAACGAACGAACTTAACGGAATAAATTCAATTATAAAAGAAACTTACCGGACGGCGGCCATTGGAGAAGTAAAGACGTCGTTGAAGTTAAATAAAGGCGATCAAAAAAGTAGGAATATCAATCGTTTACAAGCAGAAGAATCTTTGTGAAACGTCGAACGCGATTGCAATGTTCACAGTAGTATATAATAACGCGCAGCGCGGTGTCACTTATCCGAAGGCGCGCGCGCGCGCGCCTACTCGTCAGGGCACTCGTTTCTTTCTTTCTTTATTCTGTTTCTATCTTTTTCTTTCTCTCTTTCTCTCTCTCTCTCTCTCTCTCTCTCTTTACCTTCCTTGGGGAAGAGAGAATGCGCCCTAGCGTTGTTCACTTGTTTTTCTCGTATGTATATTTGCACTTTTTTTTTATTTATGATATCGTCCTCTCTCAGCTTTTAATTTTCTCTCTTCTTTTAAGAATTTTTAAAACTTTTTTTTGATTATAAGATAGAAACAGAAAAAAAGAGAGGAAGAGAAAGAGAGAGAGAGAGAGAGAAACACAACACCGGAAGCGCGCGCGCGTGCGTTATCTCTTTCTCCCTCTCGTTGTCGCAAAAGCGGAGCGAAGCGACGCAAAAACGACCGTCCGTCGAAAGCAGCGATCAGCTGTCTACTGCCCCCCACCTAGCGACCGTCTACCGCGCGATTCTAGCGAGTAACCGGCAAACCAGAAAATGTGCGCGCGCGCTCCCACCCGCCAGTAACCCGATCGCGCATACTAACTCTTCTTTCTCTTTTTTTTCTATTTCTTTCCTTCTCTATGCAGTGCGCTCGGGTGACTTGCGTAGTCGTCGTGCCGGATCGACAATTGCCTCTCTCACTATTTATGAATGGGAAGAGACGAACGTCTCGTCAGTGCGGCTCCTCCCTCGAAAGGAACCGCACGGAAGGGGAAATCGTATATCTATTTTAAAATAAATTGGAAGATGCCTTGTAATACCTTTCAAACTTTCGGACTAATTCGCTATGCCCTTTTTCTATTCGTTTGCATCTGCATCGCTAAGGTCTAAGAGAGACGAAGCAAGTTCTTTGCTCTTGCATTCTTAGTGCCATCTCTCGTAGTTATTTTCAAACTTTTGTCGATTACAAACTCATCGGTAGGAACGTGAATATATACTTTATTTTTTTGAAGGAAGATGGCGGGATAATGTTTTTTACCGGAGAAATGGCTTAACTTTCTGGAAACACTAAATATATATATATATATATTCACTTTTACAAATATAAAGTCAAAAGAATAATGATAACTATAATAATAATTATCGCAATAATAATATAGTAATAATAAAATAATTAATATAATCATAATATACTGTTATTTTAATGAAATATTAATATTAATAATAATAAAAATAAAAATCGCTATTACAAAATATCCAACTAGACGTTTATTCGCGTATTCACTTTGTTTAGTTTTTATTCAATAAAGCGATTATTTTGCCATCTTCCAATAATAATATTATTATTAATAATACATGTTGACGATTAATTCGCGAACATTGTGAGCACGTGAAAGATCAGCAGAAATCGCGTTTAGGTATGATGAATACCGCTATTATTTTTCTGAACGGAGAAATCGTTGTACTTTGCTTTTATCGGACCCTTATGATCTTCTCGCTTACGTACGCTCGTCTCAGTGGATAAAGAAAATGCAAACGTAACAAGGTATTTCGCGTGCCGAAGAACTCGGAAGAAACGTATGCACCGTGCAATGTCGAGAGCTAGTCAAGATATTTTATATTTATATGAATGTATGTACATTCTTCTTTGTACTACACGACAAATATCTTATACCCTTTTATTATTATGTTTCTATGTTGATCAGAATCTTGAATTACTCTAACATAATTGGAAAATCCTAAAAAAAGCTAATAAGGCATTTTGAGTAACGCAATACAATTGTCTAATATTTTCAAATTATGTGAAGATTAGTTTTACAAAATTCGAGCTTCGGATGAATTAAAACTAGACGTTATTATTCGAACTGGTAAAAAAAAAATATGTAGACACGATGAAGAAGTGTTCTCCATAAAAATGTTACTTAAAAGTCCGATGTAAGACCTTCAATTTATAAGTACATAATTTAAATACTTCAATGAAAATCGTTCCTTCTTGTAATGCACACGTTTCTTCTGTGTTCTTCGTATATTTTTGTTTACTTTTTCTTTTTTCATCGTGCTTCGGCAAAGAAAAAACTCGTTTTCCTCATTCGCAATATCTCTTCTTCCTTTTATTATTACGTAGAAGTAATCGCGACAAATGTTGGATTAATGATAAATCCGATTTATTCAAAACGTAACAAAAGTTGCGCTTTGTTGAAAACATTTACATACATGATTGGTATGTAATATTAAAATCAAACAAAAATAAGCGAAGAGGAAGGGAAATAAACGATACATCGATTTATAATTTGTATGTATGTACATACGTGCATGTAAATTTAAATAAAAAATCAATCTTGGACTTTCTTAGTTTTTTTTTTCTATTTTTCTTTTTTATAGTATCGCGATAATAAAAAAGCTAAATTACTCTGAATTTGGCTCAGCCATATAAACGTAGCAAAGGCTTTCCAAAATATTTCTTACGTCGATCGATTTAGTTGTGTCAACACGAATGATTTAGTTTAGACGATTGGAAGTTTCGATAGAATGTTCTCCCTAAATGAGATTAACGAATGATTTCTCTTTAGGATCGAAATATAATTCCATCGAATCTTCGTTTACATCGATATTCGTTGTTGCAATAGGTCGATCGTATTAGGATTGTGTTGTTGATTTTGTTGTTGTTGAAGTTGTTGATGTCGACTATATTGTGTCGAATCCAAGGAAAAGAAAAAAGAGATCCTAGACTCGACGACGAAGGTCCAGCCTAGTCGTCATTGACCTCGATAGGGATGCTGGTGGTGAACGTTGGTGTTTCCAATTCTTCATGCTTCTTCATCTTCATACTCTATAATAGTATAATAAAAGTATAGCGATAAGCGTAATGATAATAAATATAAGAGCTTTATAGTTTATTATTAGGTGTATACTATTAATATATATTTAAATGACTTTTTACAATTAAAATTCTTCATTTTTTAAACAAGGAACTAATTTATTTAAAGCATAAATGTTTTATGTGATAAGAAAGTAAATATTTACAGTAACAATTTGTACTTCACGCGATTGTGAAAGAATAGAGATACTAAATATATATTCTTCATCAATAAAAAGAAAGTTTCAATTTACTTTAACCAAGTTTAAAGTACTATGACGAGTTATCTCATTATCTCCAGTTAAAAGCTTTAATTTCACCTTAGTTATTTAATTGAATCATATAAAAATGTTTTTTCATTGCTACAAAGTTTGATAATTTGTGATACTATTTATCAGTTAATCCAATATATCGCAGATAAGTATATATTTTACCTGTTGAAGTTTATAATGATTAATGATGTCTTGATCTGCCGGACAGCTTTGTAAGAAAGCATCGAGCCTGTACATATGATGCATGTATCTCCAAAGATGCACCAGGCTTTCAGGGATTTCAAAATTGGCAAAGTACTTTCCAGCGACCCTGATGTGTTGAAGTCGTGGCATGAGTTCACAATCGAAACAGCACATCGTGTCGCCCGTGAGAAAGCGCGTACCCTTGCGACCCAAGTGTTCGTCGATCTTTCGTAAGTGTGCCATCAAAGAGGATGACTTCGGATCTTTATCCTTGTCTTTTGCATTGAGCAGTAGCAATTTCAATTTCTATTCAAATATTATCATGTCACTTTATTAGAGATCTATAAGCATATCATTAAAACACGTTAAACACCACGTAAGTTACCAGTAACTGATTATATAAGATTTATAGTATTATATTCTTATATTAAAAATTAAATTGTTTTTGAAGCTTATAAAAAAAAAATATTTTTTATTTAATATATACATATAGTGAATATATAGTGAATAGCAAGAATAGTCATACTCCCACTGTCAATTTAAAACAATGAATATTTTCTTGTAATACAAGACTAATAACTTATGATTTAAATAAAATTATATTTTTTAACAATTATATATAAAAATAAAATGTACTTTTGCAATCAAATTTAGATCAATTTGAAATTTGAATAATATTAAAATAAATTTCTATATATAATACAAGAATTTTGAAGCTTTACATAACAATTTGCATATAAATCATTTAGAGTTGATAGCAAAGGGGAGTACGAATATTCTTGTAACTCACTGTATATTAAATATTTGCGTATCTTTCCAGATGAGGGAATATCGCAGCGTGAACGGAAGAGGGGTAAACAATGTAGGATCGGTGTTTAACGTGTTTAAATATAAACAATTATTTCGAAATGAAATATAAAATAAGTAAAACTTACGCTAAACAAATTCTCTACTAGGGTGGCAACTTCTTTATCTTGAACGAAAAGGTTATGTCCACCGGGTATATTCTTCATGATGTGTCGTTCGATTTTCTCGTTCTCCAAAATGGCGTCACCATTGTCGATCAAGATCGGAGGTGGAGTTGCTTGGAAATTAGTACGAAAGTCCGGTGGTGGTTTCTGCATGTCGACAGTCGTCACTTTCAAAGAGATTGTCTTCAACTCGGCGAGAAGGTACAAATCCATAAAGTATTCTTGACAGAAGAGACATGCACCTTTCCTACGGCCATCGATCGTTGACGCCTACGAACAGAAAAATACAATGTAATTGTTGATATTATAATTGTTTGAAATATTCTATGCTTTTTTCATTATCTAATCGATTTATTAAAGAACTTTTGGCAGAATACCAACTATTTTCTCACGAATAAAATATGGAACATAAATTCTAAAGAAATGATGATCAGCTGGAGAAATGTAATAAAATTGACAATTTGCCAGTTTCATCTTCTCTTGCAATATCAATTCTATTTTACAGCTCAACGATCGTCTTTAAATACCGTAGCATCTCTGACTCGCAAAATTGAACCGTTCGCGGAACAAAACGATTAGCTTTACTATATTAGAGTAATTTTAAATTTTACCATGAAACCACTCAATAGCAATACTTTAACATTTTATATTTAAAATCAATTTATTCAATCATTAGGCTAATAAATAGCAACCATTTTTATCTTTGTTGAAGAATAAATGATAAAACGATGAAAATAACTTTGTGTATTTTTGGTTAAAAATTTTGGAAGTTAAATAGATTTGGCAAATGAGCGGCTCAAATAGTTGTGTTGTAATAACATTTTGAAAAAGAATTAGAAGATCAATGTGAGAACGAAAAGAAAAAAAAGAAAACGAAAAAAAATTGACCTCTTCATTCTACTGTGTATTCCTTTTACAATAATACAGTCCCAGGTTTCTTACTCGAGGGATTTATGTCACCGTTACACGATGATACTACGTTCTCATATGTATATGCGTTCCTCGATGTGCTCGCTTCTTTTTGCTCGATGACGCATCACCATTCTTGTTCGTCAAGATTTCGAATTGCACGAAGAAAGAGAAGTGTCAAGGTTCTTTTTCAATTCTACGAATAAGAAGGCTTAAGAATGAAAAACTTGTTGAATTATAATATTTGACCTTTAAACAATTTCAAAGTAAAACGTTTATCAAAAATAATAGAAATTTTAATTAAATAAAAGAAGAAACTTTAGAAAATCATTGTTGAAATAATTATATAAAAAAGAAGAAAAAATTATTCCTTTCTTTAGTTCTTTATGTGATTCCCTTTCTTTTTTTTTTTTTTTTTTGAAGTTTAGAGTGTTGGATAAAATTTCTTTATGGTTTGTTTATTTTTAAGATAAACGTTGTTATTTGCATTGTGGACAAGGAAGAAAAAGAAATCCATATATGATGAAGCTTTTCTATATCTTTTCAGTCTATAAAAAAGAAAATTAGAATAGAGATAGTTTGGTGTATTTTCCACATGCATATGAGATATGCAATAAAAAATATCCATTGTTAAAACCATTGAGTTTTTCATTTCATAATCCCAACAATCATGTTTGTATTGTATTTATCAAATATCAAATATTTGAATATTTTAATATTTATAACAATTTGTGTAAGTAAAATACTAATCAAATTATTGGGTTATAGGGGATATTAAAAAATACTCTTTCTTATAACACAATTTTCTTTTTATTTTATATGATAAGGTAGAAGCACGTCTTTACTCAATCAGCAGTAGAAAAGGAATAATCGAACAAAAGAAAAATATTTCGTCGCTAAGCACTTAGATGCAGCTGCCCTTTGTTAGGGATAAAGAAAACAAAGATTAAGAAGGAACGCCCATCGATAGAACAAAACACTCTGTGTCCCACACTAGATATCGGATATTATTTATATACATAAAAGTATCGATTGCATTTTGTAGATATGGTAATATAAACGCAGAATAAAGAATACAGCGTAGAATTCAACACAAATAATATCAATTTTAAGAAATATAGAAAAAAAAAAATAGAAAAAAAAAATAAATTCTTTGAAAATATTTGTAAAATATTTAAATATTTTGATATTCAGAATATATTGTTGCTATAGTAATATGTTTAAGATTTATTCGATAATATTGAATTTTTCAATTACGTTTATAATATGTAAACTTGTTAGATGAGTCCTTGGAAATTTCTTCGAAATTTTCATGGTTGATTCACGAGGATGGTAAAAACCTTCATGGATGTTGAAAGAAACAGTCGTGAAGGAGATAATGTCATCCCGATATGGTAAGAGCAACGATTGCTATCTCTACATACTATATACATATATGTATACATATCTTGAGCAATGACCTAATCTATTGTACAGAGAAATGTGTATATATATACACAACTACTTGTACATATATACTTTTATCTTATAAGTGCATATAACGATAAGGAAAATCCGTGAATCGAGTTTGGTGTTACGATATGTGGTTATATGAGTCTTAGTACACAAAATAAATTCCTATATAAGGAAATGAAATGTTTAGTAAAAGCAAAGCTGGAATTAAATAATATACAATAATTTTATTATTAAAAAATAAACAAGAACTTCCCCAAAGTCTTTAAAATGATGGATCTTGAAAATTATTTATTTTAACTCTTAATGGACCAATGCACGTGTATATGAAGGGCAGAAACTAATTTATTATTTTTATCACTGTTATTGTTATCATATTTACAATTAACGGGTAATACGGGAATCATTTTTTTCTGGGGCCTTGAAGTATGTGTAATTAATTTCTATATTCTATACAAATCCGTTCAAAAAGAGAATGAAAAAGCAGTTTCATATTGAATATTTATAAAACAATTATTCGTTTAGTAAATAGATGATTTGTATATGTAGGAAAAATAAAATTAGACTACAAATAGTAGAATTTTAAAAAATTAAAAAAATAATTAAATTTGAATAATTCTAAAAAACAGGTTTATGTTTACAGCTAATTTTAAAGCTTTGCATTACAAGCGAATATGAATTATTTCACATTTACAGTAAGAGCAGGTACGAATAAATCCTGGGACTTACTGTATATAATTTAAAATCTCTCTGTGTATTTGTGATTCTACTATGACTATGATTCAGGTTTATTTTTATTATGACGTCATATTTGACTAGGTAAAATGTATTAGTATTTAAACATAAAAAGAAATACATTGAGAGAAAAACAGGTAAAAGGTGAAATTCGAAATCCTGTATAGTTCGTTGAAATTTCTTTGTAACATAAACACCACGTGCTAAGAGAACGTCGATCGTAGATAAAATGTCACGAAGACGTCTTCGACATCTTCTATCTTCAAGGAGGCGGTGATCTATCGCCTCGTTCGTTTCTCGCCATCTCCTTTCTCTCTTATGAAAGCTCGGCAATTCAAATGCCGGAAATTTCTGCGATCAGCGATATGGTAAAACGATTGTATGCATGTGCGTTTATATAGATTGGGTTGGTCAATAAATTTTACCGAAATTTTTTATAGTTCAATAATAGTAAATGATAACAAATGATACGAATATATTTTATTGTGTAAATGTTTAATATTTTATATCAAGTAAATAAATATACGCGCGCGCGTGTTATTATATTTTGTATCTAAAAGTGTATAATTTTTATATGTTAATGTAATAAATTGCACCACACAATACAAGACTAGCACATTAGCAGTCATGATATCGATAAAAAACTAAACATGGATCACAAAATGGTTTTATTATATTTGGAGAAGGTTGTATACCAATATAAAAAGAAGGTTGTTTCATTATTTGTATTAAAATCTGAAGAAACTGTTTACTCAATCCAATATATTATAAAAAATAATGAACACGATAATAAAGTATAACAAATTATTTTCAATAATTATTTGACCCTTTAAGTTTTGATTACGTAGTAAGGTGCCATTTTTTTTAATCAAAATGATTCATCCTAACTCAATTGAGTAACTAAAAACAAAAAAAGATTTAAAAAAAAAAAAATAAAGAAACAGAAAATTAAAATAAATTAAAAATAATATATAATTCAAAAATCAAATAAAAATAAAAAAAATAATTATTGTAAAGACGTATTTAAATCTTACTTTCATCCTAGCTCAATTGACCAACCAAAAAAGAAAAATTAATTAAAAAAGAAAAGAAACTCAAATTTAAAATAAATTAAATTAAAATAAAATAAAATTATCAAAAATTAAATTAAAATCAATATGAATCAAGAAAGGGATAAAAGGAAAAAAGAAATATTTCCTTCAAATTACTTAGGGAGGAAAAAAATATATGCTGAGAGTCCGTGAAAATTTAATTTTTTCCGTTCACATAAACATAATAGTTAAAGAAACACGAAACTGTTTCCGTTCGCATGATATTCGAGTAGAACGTAAGTATTTTCTTCCAACGTCTCGAAATAAAACGTTTAGAACGCAACTCGAGCACTTTTCGAACGTACCTTACGTACGTTTTATAGATATATACATAATATAAAGGGTGTCCAAAAAGATTCGGACCAAAATTATATTACGTATTACTGAGGTCAAATGAATTAAAAAAGTTCATATAAATTTATGTCCGAAAATGCTGTATAAAAAAAGATATAGGCTTTCAAAGATATTTATGACTTATTCTGATAGTTATAAGAAACTAATAAAATAAAAATTTCCTATTGTATTGGGAATAATAGAAAATACAATTTAAATCATTCAAAAAGTTCATCTTCTGTTTCTATCGTATTCTTATAAACTAATTCTTTTGCATGATCTCATAAATAGAAGTCCAGTTAGGTGACTTAGAAGGCCAACTAAATCCTTAAGAATTATCATACGTATATTATGATTTTTAGGATGATTTTTGGACACCCTTTATATTACATATGTATAGGTTACAACGAGTACGTGTATTTTATTCCTGAATCGTTATTTCAAAGACCTACACTGAAATTGAATAAACACCAAAATTTAATGCGAATAAGCATAAGTATGTATAAACCTATACGTATACTTTTAAGAAAATTTAAAATGCTAAGTTTGGAATGAAACAAGTTCCGAGAGAAACGTGATACAAAAAATATAAAATAGAATTAATCCTTCATAAATCAATCTTTTAGGTTAAAGTTATTTGTTTTATTTTTATGTTAAAATATGTTGTCATTGTAAAAAGATTGTTTCTATTAAAAAAAAAAAAAAAAAAAAAAAAATATCACAAAGTTACCCTAGTAGCACAAAATATTG